AGAGGAAGGAACTTAGAGGGCGCTCAGGGGGAGTACTGGGGAAGGAGGCAGAGGTACAGTTTGTGCAAAGGCCCTGTGGCTTGTCAGTGAGTGAGGGGTGAGCAACTGCAGAAGGAGGGAAGACAAGGAGTAGATGAGGGCAGAGGCAAGATCTTGGAGAGACTCGTGAACTGTGAGAAGGGGATTTTTATTTTTTGAGATGGAGTCTTGCTCTGTCACCCAGGCTGGAGTGGAGTGGTGTGATCTCGGCTCACTGCAACTTCTGCATCCTGGGTTCAAGGCTGGTCTTGAACTCCTGACCTCAGGTGATCCATCTGTCTCAGCCTCCCAAAGTGCTGGGATTACAGGCATGAGCCACCGTGCCCAACTCAATTTTTTTTTTTTTTTTTTAGACGGGATCACGCTCTGTCGCCCAAGCTGGAGTGCAGTGGTTTGATCTTGGCTCTCTCTTGCAGAGAGAGGTCCTTTGCTGACCTCCAGCCCTAGGTTCAAGCGATTCTTGTGCCTCAGCCTCCCAAGTACCTGGGACTACAGGCACGTGCCACCACGCCCAGCTAATTTTTGTATTTTTAGTAGAGACGGGGTTTTGCCATGTTGCCTAGGCTGGTCTCAAACTCCTGACCTCAAGTGATCCATCTGCCTCAGCCTCCCAAGTGCTGGGATTACAGGTGTGAGCCACTGTGTCTGGCCAGAGAAGGGGATTTTTGATGATAGTAGAAGCAAGCTGTTGAAAGGCTTTAGTCAGGAGGGTGACCTGGTTGGATCTGCATTTTGGAAAGATCCCACCAGCTTCCCAGTGGAGAATGAACTGGAAAGGCGCAAGAGTGAAAGCGGGGGCAGATAGGAGGCTATAGCAGCACCCAGGGGAGATGGGAGAGCAGAGATGCAGAGAAGGGGATGGGCTGGAGGTCGGTCAAGGAGGAAACGTCATCAGGATTGGCAGCGACAAAGAAGGCAGTATCCAGGGTGACTTGGAAGGTGGGACCACTCCCTTAAGAGAGGGCATGGGGTGGGGAGCGGGGACAACTCATGGGGTTCATTGTTGGACCTGCGGGTTTGAGATGTGCACATGGAGACAGTGATGACACTGCTCGGAGCACAGAGGAGAGGCTGTCAGGAGAGAGGATTGGGGGTCTTGACTGTTGAGATCATGTGGGTGTGGAGCTGATTCAGGGAGACCGTGCAGCAGAGCAGAGAAGAGGGCTCAGGTCCAGGCTTGAGTGAGCCTGTGAAAGACACAGATAGAGGTCGGGCGCGGTGGCTCACGCCTGTAATCCCAACACTTTGGGAGGCCGAGGAGGGTGGATCATCTGAGGTTGGGAGTTGGAGACCAACCTGACGAACATGGAGAAACCCCATCTCTCCTAAAAATACAAAATTAGCCGGACATGGTGGCGCATGCCTATAATCCCAGCTACTTGGGAGGCTGAGGCAGGAGAACTGCTTGAACCCGGAGGCGGAGGTTACAGTGAGCCAAGATTTCACTATTGAACTCCAGCCTGGGCAACAAGAGCGAAACTCCATCTCAAAAAAAAAAAAAAGAAAGAAAGAAAGAAAGAAAAAGAAAGACACAGACGGGGAGCAGCCAGGGTGCAAAGGAAACCCAGACAGGGCAGCACGCCAGAGACGAAGGACAGAGTGTCTACATGTCAGACTTCTGAGGGGCCAGCCTGGCTAGGACAGAAAAACGTCCACTGGCTTCAGCAACACGGAGGCCATTGGTGTGCTTAGTGGGCGTCGTTCTAGTGAAGTCAGGCTGACAGCAGAAGTCGACCAGTCAGCTGAGGAGGAAGAGGAAAGGGAGGGGAGACAGAGAGAGATGATGCGTGCTTGACATGAGGGGAAAGTTGGGAAGACACTGTCAAGATGGATGGAGCTAATTAAGACACATTTCGATGGGAAGGATTCATCTGAGAGAAAGTGGTGGACGCCATCGAGGATAGAAGAGGTGGTGGTCCTGGGTGGCCCTGAGAATGTGGGGTGTGGCAGGTTGTTGGACAGGTCGGCTAGCCGGAGGGTCCAGCGGGTGCTCGAAATAACATGTTCTGGCTAGAAGGAATGAGGTTAAGCTCAGAGAGCCGGAAGCCTGCCTTGAATGTAGAGTAATTTGGGGTGATGACAAACCTCCAAGTGTGACCACGGTAAGGGTCACTGAGAGGTCAAGGGGCCGTAAGGTCCTTGGATAATGGAGCGACTTGAACTTGAAATTGAGGTAAGAGCTGGATGAGAAGACCATGAGCCAAGACCGAAGCATCCCAAAAATGAGGTGGAGTGGCAGCCCCAGGCAGGGAGGAGACAGAATGACCCATGGCACCACCCTCCTAGCAGGAGGGGTCTTGTAGGGAGGGAGGCAGGAAGCAAGGCTATCAACCTCTTCTTTGTGGGAGACAAAACAGCTCCCCTTGGGAGATCTCAGGGGGATCCAGTTTAGAAGAAGAGAGACTGGGTGGCAGGGCCACAAAGGCTGGGTCAGGGGACAAGAAGGATGGAATCATCCCAGGTTTGGGTGTAGCAGAAGATATTAATAGATGGGTGCTGGACTCTGGGTATTGCCTGGCAAAACCAGGAGTGAAAGGCATGATGGGTTCGTGCCTCATGGTCAGTCTCTGAAGAGGGTGGGCCCTGAGCTGAATGGACACGGGCCTGGGGGCATCCACATAGCAACCTCATCAGGAAGAAACTTCTGATCCCATTTGACAAGTAAGGAAACACAGGCACAGAGACAGGGAGAGGGTAAGTAATTTACTCAAGGTCACAAAGCATAACCACTTATTACTAAGTGATTCTTGTCAGGGTCAAACCTTGGAGCAGAACTTTGAGCCCTGTCAGTTTGACTCCTGAGCAGGTGTTCTTGTCCATCCTGTCTGTAACTGCCATTGTGGGACTCCCTTCCTCTACCCCCACCTTAGGAAGGGGAGTGGCATTGTGTCCCTTCACTCACCGACTTTGGTGGAAGGTCATTTGTCCCTAAAGGGGATGGGGGCTGGCTGCAGGCTGCCTGCAGAGCCAGGCCCCAAGCACTGAGGACACATCAGTGTCCAGTGGTCCAGTGATCAGGGAGCATTGAGAAGAAAAAGAGGCAAGGCTGGTCATAGGGGCCCCACCTGGATTGAGTACCAGGCCTCACCCCACCCTTGGTTTCCCAGACTCCACATAAACCCCTAGAAGGGGTCTGATTCCCCCTCTGTGGCTGAGACTGAGTTTCTCACCAGCCTTGGTGAAGCAAGGGAGAAGGCAGAGTTAGATTTAAGGTGACTCAGTAAAACAAAGGAGCCTGGGAGCTCCTGCACTTGGCTCCTGCCACAGCCGCATCACGTGCCCCTGACTTGTCTACCCTGCTGCGCTCAAGCTCCTGGAGGTTGGATCCTTCCCAGGTGAGCCCAGCACTTTGTCCACAGCAGTCAGTCAATATTTGCTGAATTAATTCTGGGGCCCTGCCTGGCAGCTCCTGGCCTTGGAGCCAGACTGTCTGACTCTGAGTTCCAGCCCCGCCCCATGTCAGCTTTGTGACTTTGAGCATGCCATTTAACGTGAGCCTCGGTTTCCTTGCCTGAAAAATGGGAGTAGTACCGGCTGCAAGGTGAGAGATCTGTGCAATCGCCCTGCAGTGGGCTTTGCGCTTGGTTTCATGCTCTGCTGTCCCTGTTTTGAAATTCTTCACACGATTTTGAACAAGGAGCCCTCACATTTTCATTTTGTATTGAGCCCCACAAATTATGTAGCCAGGGTCCCGAACGGAATTAACAATATTGTCTACCTCAGAGCGTCGTTGCAAGGATTAAATAAGCTGATCTGCTTAGCACATAAGCAGTACCCAATAAATAGGAACAAAGGCCTATTGTCTCTTGCTGTTAGCTCAGCCCCAGTGCCCATGTGTGATAAATGAATGAAATGACCGAATTGAGTGACAGCCTGGGAGCGTCTGGAAGCGAAGGTGCCTGGGTGACGGGGGATGGAGGTGAGGGTTGAGAGGAGCTGTAAAGGAAGCGGGGGCAGTTTTGCACCCCGCGTTGTGCAGCTGCAGTTTCCTAGACAGCCGGTGATCCACGCTGTGGTCGAGACCCGGCCGCCACACCTCGCAAAAAGTCCACTTGGTGAGAGCTGAGAACGAGGGTTCCAGTCTTTATTATGCGGGCGTTCAGTCTCTAGCTCCCGGGCCGTGGTCCATGTCCAGCTTCCGGAGCCGCCGCGTGATTCCAGCCGCCACTGGTTCAGCGACCCACTAGCACCCGCGCCCCGCCCCGGCCCCGGGTCCGGAGGCGGGGCCGCGGGGCGCCTGGCGCATGCGCAGGCCGGCCCGCGGCGGGGTGGCGCTCAGAGGAAGGGGTTCGTGCCGGTCTGCGGGGGAGGGGGCAGCGGCCCGGCTGAGCTCGGCGTGGGCAGCAGCGGCTGAGGCAGGCGCGCTGAGGGCGGTGCGAAGGCTCCGGCCTGCGGGAAGACGCTAACCGAGGCAGGGAGGGTCAAGCCGGCTGGCACGCTACTGAGCGGGAGGGGCAGAGAGGCGCTGTAGGTCATGGAGCCCAGGGGCGCCCCCACGGGCCCGCCCGCCAGGCCCAGCGCCGGCGACCCCGTGCGCATCTGGTTTAGCGTTGGCCTGCCCGGCTCGCCCGCGCCGAACGGGTTGGTGGGGGACGGAGCGCTGAGACCTGCAGAACGAGAGTGGCTTGGAGCGACCCGGGATTCAGAGCCCTACACCGGGAGGTCTTGGAAGTTGGGAAGGAGAGTGAGCTCCTCCGGCCGAGGCTAGGCTCTGAAAGCAGGAGCCCCTGGATTGAGGGACGTCTTACCTGTCAGAAAGGGGTTCCGGGTCTTTGCAGCCTGGGGTGCCTTGACCAAGGAGTCAAGGTTGACCAAGGAAGAGGCCGAGGGGCCCAGGAAGGACTCGGGAGTCCGGCAAGCTCGGGCCTCTTTGCTTGGCTGGGTTAGTGCTTCCCCTAGTATGCCCAGGTCCAGGGCATCTGGCTCCTTCGTGCCATTTTGCTTGGAACTGGGGCTGGGATCTCCAAACAGGTCCAGCTCTGGAATAGAAATGCTAGAGCTCGCTGGTGGGGAGAGGGATTGGCGCCCGATGTGGGAGGAAGAGAACAGAGGCTGCTTGGGGTGGGCCCCTTGTTCCCCAGAGCCTCACCATTCCCTTGCCCCACTCACCCACAGGGCTGCTGGGCTTCCCAGAGGGCAGGGCCTGCTCCATCCCCTCCTTGATCTCTGTGGATTCTGGAGGTTTGGCAAATGAGTCAAAGGCCGAGGCAGCACCTACAGCTGGGGGAAGAGAGGGAGAGGAGATGGATTGGCAAAAAGAGCAGGTGCTGGTCTAACCCCTTTCCAGAGAAGCTACCCTCGTAACACATACAGTATCTGCTTCCCCCTTGGCTCTGCCTGGAAGTCCTCCAGCCCCTCACTCACATGCTCTGGCCCTCTTCTTACCAGGTGTGTCGGAGGTCTCAATGGAGGCTCCCCAAGGGTCAGCCCCAGTGCTGGGGAGTTTGTGGTGGGGAGAATTCAGTGCCCACGGGTCTGTGGTGGGGGGCCCAGCAGGCAGCACTGGGGTCCTGCCCCAGGGCTCAGAGGAGGAGAGCATGGGAGTCAGATCCCAGGGCTGGCTTCGGGACAGGATGGTTCCTGAGGGGATCGGAGACCAGGGGTCTGCAGAAGGCCCCCAGGAGGAGCCGCTGGCCTCTGTGTTCGGCCTAAAACCTGAAATGGGAACAGCATAGACATGATCCCAGGCCCACCCTTATCCCTCGCCCAGGGCGCTTCCCAGTTACCCAGCCCAAATCGGGAGGCAGGGGATCCATGTCACAGATGGACTGTGGCCTCAGGACCACCCAGCAGGCTGGAGCCCGTATTTGGCAAGTGACCCCAGGAACTGGGACCTGCAGGTGTGGGTGACTCAGGCCACCTTCCCAGGCAGGGACATGCTGAGCAAGTGAGTGCAGCAAGAGAACATTTGCTGCGTTTCCTAGGAGCTGGGCCCTTCAGACATTCTCCATAGCCCTCACTATGAAAGCCTGTCCCACAGGCGGCGGAGGCTCAAGGTGGTGAGTGACTTGCCCGGTGACACTCAGATGTTGTGGGGAGGTGGGGAGGTGCTTGGCCCGGCAAGTGGTTGGGAAGGAGGGGGCATTCAGGCCAGCCTGGAAGTCTCTTGCAGCCCTGCATGCCCACCTGGGATGTCCCATGGGTCAGCAGAGCAGTGTGTGGAGGGCGGGGCCAGGGCAGGTACGAAGATGTCAGCCAAGTCCAGGATGGAGGACTGTGGAGGGGAGAGGCAGCCGGGGCTCAGAAGTGGGTGGGGCCTGGAGGGAGGGCAGGCCCTGACCTGTCAGGCTAATGCCAGCTCATTCTCTTTATTCATTCCACAGATACCTATTCATGATCCCTCACCTCGACATAGTGCTTTACAGTTTATAATGTTTCTTCATCCACAGAGTACCTGATTTTCATAACAACCCTGTGAGGTAGGTAGGGCAGGTGATGTGCCCATTTTATGGATGAGCCAGCCAGCGCACAGAGGGTGGAATGGGTTTGCCTGAAGTCACACAGCCGGGGAGAGACAGAGCGGGGATAGAATCCAGGCCAGCAGAAAGGGGCAGATGTTTTTCAACCAGCCTACCTCCCTAGGTCAGTGTCCAAGAGAAATTGGCCACAGTGAACATGGGCGGAAAGGAGACCGCAGCACCCGGGCATGACATGGACAGCTTTGGAGGGCAGCCTTGCACTCAGCAGCTGCTCACTCCCCATGTGGAGAAAATACGTCCATGAGCCCGCGGTGTTTTCAGCACCATGTGCCTGGGCCCACCTTAGTCTTGATCGACAGTATCACATAATCCTAACATGTCAGAGCTGGAACTATCCAATAAGCACACTGTGCAGAAGGGGAAACTGAGGCCATGACAGTGACATGCCCCAAGTCATAGAGTAAGTGGCAGCAAATTCAGAACCCAAATCCAGGGGTCTCTGATCAGGATCCCTGTGCATCCCACTTTGCTGTTAACTCAGTCATCAGCCCATGCAGGGTGGGACTAGGGCTGCTACACCCCCACACCTATTTCATCTAATAAACATGTTAGTGCTTACTATATGCCAAGCACTACTCTGCTCTCTCTTTACAAATACTCAGTCCGTGTCTCAGGCCCTGTCCATCCCACGCACCCCAGCCCACTCCCTACCTGGCTGGTTTTTAGTTTCTCTTCCTCCTTTTTCTCTTCTGTCTCGGTCTCTCTGTCCCGCCGATGGTGGACAGCAGGCCCTGCACCATTGGCCATGGGGGAGCCATCACCCCGCCAGGATTTCACCTCCTGCAGAAGGCACAGAAAGGGTCAGGACATGAGCGGCGCAGGCTGGAATCCGGGGACCTGTGCACCCGAGGCTGGAGTCGAGAGAGTGCAGGTGGGAGGCAGCTGAGAGGTTAGGAGCGGCAGGGCCACCGGGTACAGCAGGAGGAGCCTGTTAGTGCCCTGAAGCACCTCCATCACCAGCAGCAACAGCAGCACCGGCGGCCGGGAGGGCTCAGCCCACTACCTTCTCGTGCTCCTGCCGGCTCAGGCGCAGAGCCAGCTGCAGCTGCAGGTCCTCATCCCTGTGGGAGGCTGGGGGGACAGGCTGCGGAGGAAGAGAGGTGTGAACTTGGCCCTGTACTCCCACCTTGGGAGCAGAAGGGCAGTATAGCCCTGCCTGGGTCATGGGGATGGAGAGACAGATGCCCAGCCTCAGTATGCATGGGCCATTTGCCCCTCAGTCAGCAGGGTGGGCGTGGCCTTCTCCCTGCCTGCATCTGAAATGCAGTTTAAAGATCAGGAAGACTGATCTTTTGCTTCTGAATCCTCTGAGAGTTCTCTAGGCCCTCCTGTGTGAGGCCCAGCTGCTTCCTGCCTGGTCTTCCTGGATCCACAGAGGTAGTGGCAAAGTTGATGATATCGGGGGCCCATCCTTGTCTCCCCACGAGGATAGCTGGTGGGCGGGGGCGGGCAGCATATCCCAGTGTCTCCTAGCAGTGTCTGAGCTCACTCACCCCTTCCACCATGAGGTGGTAGCAGGCCCCCCGAGACACATCAGGTGCCCCTAATTGCACACTCGCTACTCTTTCCAGGCCAGGTGGAGAGGACTGGAGGCGGGGAGGCAGTCCCTGCCTGCGACAGACCGACAGAGACAGTGGGTCTTGTGCTGTCCTTGGGCACAGGAGTGGGGCTTCGGGTGACAGAGCCTGAGTCAAGGCTGAGGGGCTCCCAGGCATTCTCCCTCTAGCCCATCCCCTCTCCACCACAGTGGGGTTGCGTGGCCTCACCTTCTCTGCCTCCTCACGGCTCATGGCTAGGGCCAGCTGCAGCTGCAGTTCCTCTTCCCCTGACGTCTGAGGCCGGGCCTGCTCCAGGTCGGAGGTATAGCGGGGTGACGAAGAGGAGGCTGCAACGACCATCATGTCTCTGTGACCACACGATTACCCATTAGCTTCCACACCCCTCTGCCTGCCAGGAAGCTGAGGCTCAAAGAAGAGAACTGAGAGGAGGGGAACAACAGGCCGTGGAGGCCCCCGTGGGCCAGGCAGTGTGCTGGGCACTCTCTGTAAGTTCCCCATCCCACCCTGTCCCGGTGGGACGGCTCCAATCCCTCCTTAGCAGATGCACAGGCAGCACTTAGGGCACCTGACCAGGGTCCTCAAGCAGGACTTGAACCCAGGTGCCCTGACTCCAGCTCTTGGACTTCCAGATGGACCCTGTCCTGCCTGGGGGCAAGGGAAGTGCAAGGATAGGAGGTTCTAGTCCAACGAGGTCACAGCCTCACAGCCCTCAGCAAACTGTCAAAGGCTTTATGGAAGGCGGGCCATTCTGAGTATTCCTCAGATCGGGGAAGCCCCCACAACTCAGGGCAGGACAGTCAGGGACTGTCCGGCAGCTGCCCTCAGGTAGGGGGATGAAGGGGAATGCCATATGTCTGGGCTCAGGGTAGAGGACATTGCTGAGCCTGGTCTCATTTCATTCTCAAATCAAACAGTGGAGGTAGGTGAGCTTATCTCCACTGTACAGATGAGGAAACTGAGGTTCAGAGAACTGGTTGCCCAGGTCACACAGCTTGGAGGAAGCAGAATAAAGAATGCTATCTGTCTCCAAACCCATGCTTCCACCATCATGCCATCCTATCAAGACAGCTAACGAATGATGATGAATCTGTAACAACATTATTATCTGAGCTAACTTGTTGAGCACCTCCTATGTGCCGGGTGTTGTGCCTTGCATGTTACATTCCTTATGTCTGAATCCTCGTAACACCCCTCGGAGGTAGGTATTATGAACCATGGCTTGGATTGCAGAGCCAGGATTGGAAGTCGGGCCACCTCCCCATCCCAGCCACACGCTGGGGCTCACTCACAGTTGTAGGAGGACGGGGAGCCCCGGGAGCGGCCGTAGTCCTCGCCGTAGCGGCGGCTGAAGCCCAGCTGCCCACTGCCAATGCCGATGCCCTCCAGTGCCATGCGCTCCTTGGTCTTGAGGGCATGGGTTCGCTCCTGCCGCAGCCGCTCCTCATCCTTGAGCAGGGCCATCACTTGCTTGACCTTCTCGCGCACGTTGACGCCCTGGTCCTTGCCATCGCGGTCAATGTACTGGAAGTCCTTGAGTGTCTGGATGGTGTAGAGGTTCTCGCGGCACTGGTGGGCCACCCGCTCAGAGCCTGTCTTGAGCAGGTAGTCCAGCAATGTCAGAGCCTTGTACACGTGCCGCCAGTTCTTGCCGCTGTCATTGAGCCGCCGCCACAGCATGCCCATGACCTCGGTGAAAGCCACTGTGTTGAAGGTCAGGTCAGCGATCTCGGACATAAGCGAACTGGGGGGGCCCCAGGGGTCATTGCTGGTGGCCTCGCGCACCTTGATTTCCGCCTCGGAATAGTTGTGCACGATGTTCTTCACCTGGCGCCGGAGCGCGGAGGTCGTCATGGCTGGAGACTTGGAGGTGGGTGGCCCTCGCCCCCGCTGGAGATGGAGGGCTGAGGGCCACTGTGGTGAGGTCACGGTCTTGAAGGATGGGCTGCTGTGTTCTCAGCAAAGCAGCTGCGTCCTTGGGTTCCACATGGGGCTGAGGAAGAAAGGGCCAGGAATTCAGGGGCAAAGGCCTACCTTACAGGTCACTCAGCCACTGACCAACTAAATGAGGCCTGGCCAGAGTGTCCCTGCCTCCAGGGATAGCCTTCAGCGGCACATGTTCTTATTTCACTTATAATGCAGCAGGCACTTGGAGCTTTGCATGCTCATCTATCTTCACAGTCACACCACAAAGATGCTGTTGTCATTGTTTCCATCCACAGATGGGAAAGGTAGGGCTTAGAGTATTAAATGGGCCTGGCACAGTGGGTCATGCCTGTAATTCCAGGACTTCAGGAGGCCAAGGCAAGAGGATCACTTGAGGCCAGGAGCTGGAGGCTGCAGTGAGCCATGATCGTGCCAGTGCACTCCCACCTGGGCAACAGAGTGAGACCCTGTAATATTAAGTGACTTGTCTGAGATCACAGAGCTGCTACATGGGGGACCAAGACGACCCTAGGAAGCCCCACCTAAGAGTGCATGGCCTCATAGGGGAATGCTAACGGGATTCCAGGAAGGCTCGCTTGCCTTGCTTTTGCTGCGCCACCACCTCTGTTTCTGCTGAGATCTAGCTTAAGACCTGTCCTTCCCAGCTCCTCAGCTCACTTTTCTCATATTGTTAATTTTTGTAGTTTGGTGCATTCAACACCTATTTCCTGGAGGCCTTTTCTGAGCCAGGCATCATGCCAGGCACAGAACACACGCCTTGGTCCACCCACGTTCAGTTGTGAGGGTACAGAAAATCACAGTCCAGTGTGGGAGTGCAGAGCCGCCCAGGAAGACCCAAGCCAGGAAAATCAGGGGAGACTTCCTAGAGGAGGTGGTGGCGGAGCTGAGATCCAAGATCCAAGGGAAGAGTAAGGAGGAGTGAACCAGCAAGTCAGGGGAGCTCAGAAGAAATGCTGTGAACTGGGCCAGAAGGCAAGAAAGCAAGGATCATTTGAGGAAGGCTGCCCCTCAGAGATCTGGCCAAAGCCAACACTCCCGCCTGCCACCACCACTGCCACCCCCCACTTACACATGAAAGTGTTGAGGCCAGAGAAGGGATGAGACCTGCGTGCGTCGTATGGCACGTAAGTGGCAGAGCCTCGACTAACATCTAGGTCTCCAGAAGACTAATCCAATCCTTATTGTCAATGTTACCCAGCTTAGTCATTAATTCATCGGTTTGCTTTACTGTCTCAGTCCCACCTTCTCAGCTAGAATGGAAGCTCCCTGAAAGTAGGAACAGTCTGGGTTCTCCAAAGTCCCAAAGCCCTGGACACATGGTGGACCTCTGCTACCCCATCAGGGAGAAAAGCCAGGCCAGCCCAATTCGCCCCTAATAGCCGCAGGTCCAAGCTGTCTGCTGAATACAACCCCAGGCCCCAGGTCCTCCCAAGGCCCTTTCAGAAACCAAAAGAGGAATTCCCTGACCACCGCCATTCCTCCCACACTAGCGCTGGTCTGTGCATGCACACACACACTGGCTGGGCCTGCAGAGCTTCCACTTCACCCGTGAACTCTCCCCCACCCACCAAACAACTCTCGGCTCCACCCTCCATCCCAGCCCTTGCCCCAGCTGGTCCCCAGGCTGCCAGAAGCAGGAATCTGAAGGAGACCTTCCCCCACCCGACACCATGTTCCTTCCACCCCAGCCCCGCCAGTGCTGGGCTCAGTTCAAAGCGGCCCCACGCTTTGAAAACACGCCTTGGCAGGTTTTGTTTGGGGCCCAGAGAATAGGATCCTGTGGGAGCAGACGAGGTGGAGAGTGCCTGGCCCACAGCGCAGCCTACCTTTTGTCTCCTGTCTGTCTTTCCTTCCAGCGGGTGGTGGGCCTTCTGTGGGGATGCCACGGCCACAACTTGTTTAACTCCTGCCCTCCCCCTTGCTAGTGACTCAGACCTGCCTTCACCTCCCCATCCCGTGGCTGGGGGTGGCAGAGTCAAGATGGGAAATAATGTGCACCGAAGCCCGCCCAGCGCACACCCCTACCGGCTGGCCACTGGAAGTAGCAGAACCAGTCGAGCACTGACTCCACCAGAGCCCTACCTGGACCTGGCTGCCCTGGCCCTCCGGCCCGGCCCAGGTAGGGGCACCAGCCTCTGGAAGGGGACTCTCAGTGTGGGCCCAGCGGCCCTGCCTGGACCTTTCTCACAGGAGGTGGGCATTCTCTGCACACCCCTGCAGGGGCTAGGGGGAAGTGTGGGGTCAGAAACATGGGGAGGCACCTTGATATTCCTTCTCTGGAGTTTGAGGGAACACGGTGAGGCTGCCAGAGCACAGAGAGGGGAGGAGGAAAGGAAGGAACGCGGGAGGGAGCAGCTGGGAGCGCTGCCAGCAGTGTTACAAGCAAAGGGTTTTATCGAACACAATATGCCCAGAAATAAAAGGGAGTGAAACAGAAACCCAGCGGCCGATAAGGCAGTGGCGGTAGCAGCAGCAGCCCTGGGCAGCTGGAGATGGAATTACTGCAGTGACCTTGAGCCGGACCCTGTCAGGTGGAGGGAAGGGCACAGAGAGGGCAGGGCCTGAGAATTCAGAGATGAGGGAGAGGACGGAGGAAGGAGGAGGCTGAGGGGATGGGAGCATGGCCAGCAGGTGGTGGGATGGGCCATGAGGCATGGAGTATCAGCTCTCGCCTACATACAGGGTCCCAAGGAGAACTGCGCAGTAGGGAGGGGCTGCTCTTCTCAGGGCCTGCAGGATGGGGGGATCTGGAGAGCTTCCCAAAAGTCAGGACCGAAAAACGCAGCTCGCTCGTCCCCAGCAAGGGCTTCAGAGAAATGGAAAGAACCCAAATCTGTCCAGTCACACGTGCATGAGTTTGCGCAAAGTCTGTGCACCCACCAGCCCAGCCCACACCCCATTCCCGTCCTCTGCTAAGGTGGGCTCCAGCCCCTGCCTCCAAATCAGGTCCAGCCTGAGCAGTGGGGAATGACAGTGCCCTTCTTGATGCTGTAGGAATGGGGGTGAGCTTGAGCTCTAAGCTTCTGGCCACTGTAACAGCTGCCTCCTGGGAGCACAGGAGATGGGGGAGGGGGGCTACCCTGAGGCTAGAGGTGTGCATGAGGGGCTGAGGAAGAGGAAACAGCAGAGATGTGCAGAAGGAGTCTGTGGGGAATGCCACCAAAGATACTAAGTCCCAGGATGGATGGGGAGGGGGCCCTGAGTCCCTTTCTGGGGGCTGCAGGGAGGGAGGGGTGGCAGGAACGAAGCCTTTAGGTCCTCTACAGCTCAGCCTTCTCCCTCGCACCTGGAAAAGAGACTAAGCCCCAAGCCCACTCTTTGCTCCCCACCAACTCCCACCTTCCATGCCGCCACTGCCAGGGAGGGGGCCAGGGAGGAGCTTACCTCCAGTGCGGGCTCCCTCGGCCCCAGCCCCGGCCAGAGTAGCCTCTGCGGTGACCCTCCAACCTGTGCAGCAGGGGGACGGCACAGCCTCGGGAGCGTCTCCAGAGCCATCCACCATGGACCCTCGTCCCAGAGACCCACCTGCTCCTAGGAGGCGCAGACCCCTCAGAGGGGCAGCGGCAGGGTCCCTGGAATGGGTAGCAGCTCTTCCCGCGTGCGTTTGCCTCCTAGCCAGCGCCAGGCAGCACTCCGAGGAAAGTTGCTCAGCTGGCCCGGCAGGTCTGCCTCAGCAGTAACAGGACACAGGAGGAAGCGCAGGGCAGGTTAACCCCTTCCTGCTGGCCAAGCAGGTGGTGCATTGAGAGGTGGGGGGCCTGCCTGTTGGCTGCCCCCAGGAAGTGCAGATCTGGAGCCAGTGCTGGTGACCCGATCCCCTCTGCTTTGAGTTAACCCTTCCCCTGCCTCTTCAACGGGAAAGGAGGGGGGCTCCAACACCCCCACCACATCACTCCCCTTCCTCCTTTGGGCCAGGAGGACATTAAAGGAGAGGGTAGGGCCATTCCCTGGGGCTGGCTTTTTGGTGGAGCCCCTGACTTCTAGGGGAGGAGGGCATCAGGACTCTAGCACAGCCCCCTCCCTGCCTTTCCCACACGGAGTCAGATCCTGCTCTCCATCCTCCTCCTGCATCTCAACTGGAGGATCCCTGAGGCCTACTTAAGGACGCCCACCCACCCATAAACCAAAGTTGTTCTTCAAACTCTGGGAGCCTGGAGTGCTCTTCACATGGGGAACCCAGTCCCAAATGGTTATGACTGACAGAAGACAATGATGGGCATGAGTCTGAGCTGACAGTACGTTTCTGAGAGCCATTTCTAGCCTGTTTCAGGTTCCCTTGAGCAAGGGAGGTAGCATGAACATCAGCAGCTGTTTTTAAGGCAGAAAGATGGCTCAAGGCCAGATAGTTTGAGATGAGGAGGGGATAAGGAAGACTAGACCCCAAAATAACAAGGTGATGGTGGCCTCTAGAGCTGAAGAGGTGTGGTGAGCATGATCTGCAGGGACTGAGTTGGGGCCCTGGGACCCAGCTGAAGGGAGATAGCAGGGAGCCAGGTCCCATGGGTCTAGTTCTACTCCTCATCTCACACTTTGTCATACTTGGTGATGACACTTCAGGAAGACCTGGCTCCAGGAAGCATGACCCTAAAAGTTTGGGACAAGGAAGCCAGAGGCAGGGACTACCAGAGGTGACACACTGTGTCCTGTCACCTGACTCCTTGTCTTGCTACCAACCCGCTCTTCTGCTTGGCATCCCTCACATCACCTCCCCAGCTATGTCTGTCTCTCCTCCTGCTGGAGGGCTCTGGCAGCTGGCAGGAGGGGATCTGAGGGCAGACGGGACATGGGAGGACCTGGAACAGGAGATGACCTAGTCAAGATCCATCATGTAAGACACAGAGGCACACAGAAGTAGCAGAAACTTGAAGGTTCTTTATTATTTATTAACCCGTTTTCCAGAAGGTTGCTTGGGCCCGAGAGTCACGTGCAGAGACGCAAAGGCTCCTCGACATTCTTTATGGGGCTGAGCTCATCAGCCAGGACCATCAGGTCGGTCACCAGGGTGTCCAGCAGCCCATGGACCTGGAAGAACGGGACAACATCACAGGCAGGGTTTGCTCTGTGGGAAGCACCTATATATCAACTGTGCTGTGGGAGAATAGCTGGAGAGGGGAAAGAACCCAGTTGTTTGTGAAAGAATTTCACAAGTTCAAAGTTCTTCTGAAATAATTTTTGGTTTTGCCTTTTTTTTTTTTTTTTTTTTTAAAGACAGGATCTCTCTGTCACCCGGGCTGAAGTCCAGTGGTGTGATCATGGCTCACTGCAAGCCTTGACTTCTCTGGCTCAGGTGATTCTCCCACCTCAGCCTCCCAAGTAACTGGGACTACAGGCGTGCACCACCACACCTGGCTATTTTTTTTCTATTTTTTTTTTAGAGATGGAGTTTCACCACATTGCCCAGGCTAGTCTTGAACTCCTGGGCTCAAGCAATCCACCTGCTTTTGCAGTTTTATTTTTGAAACCAATCTGGGGAGGTGGCCCTGCGCCGGTACCTTTGACATATGGAGGCACTGGAGCCAGGTTGTTAAAGGGGAACTCCAGGGATCCCATGGAGCAGTGCCCATTTAGCTGTTTGGGGTAGGCCTGGGCTCAGTCCCAGTTCTACTCTGGTCTTCTGGAGGCCAATTTTCCTTCCTGTATAACAGATCCACACACTGAAAGGTCTCTGGGACTGAGCCCTCCAATGGGGTTGGATCATACAAGCCCAGGCAAGTTGATTCTTTTTTTAATTTTTTTCTGAAGAGATGGGGTCTCCCTGTGTTGTCCAGGCTGATGTCGAACTCCTGGGCTCAAGCAATCCACCTGCCTCAGCCTCCCAAAGTGCTAGGATTATAGGTGTGAGCCACTGGTGCCTGGCCAGCAAATTGATTCTCTTTTTCTTTCTTTTTTTTTTTTTTTTTTGGAGATAAGAGTCTTGCTCTGTCACCCAGGCTGGAGTAAAATGGCATGATCTCAGCTCACTGCAACCTCCACTTCCCAGGTTCAAGCGATTCTTGTGCCTCAGTCACCCAAGTAGCTGGGACTATAGGTGAGTGTCATGCCTGGCTAATTTTTTGTATTTTTAGTAGAAACGGGATCTCACCATGTTGCCCAGGCTGGTCTCAAACGCCTGAGCTCAGGCAATCTGCCCACCTTGGCCTCCCAAAGTGCTAGGATTACAGGCATGAGCCACTGCACCTGGTCTGCTAGTTGATTCTTAATATCAAAGAGCCATGGAAGGGTTGACCCCCGTGGGTCCTCAGAGCCCTTTAATTACTTTCTAGACCCCATCAACCATCAGATATCTTAGTGATGTCACCAGTGGCAAAGGGAACTTTTGATCAAATGAGATCCAGAGTGTGAACACATACATGATGTAATCCCAGCTCCCCAGGTGTCCACCTTAGAAGAATACAAGGCGTGGCCATTAGACATACTGACATATTGAAAATGGCTTTGTGGACCTCCCTTCCAAAACAACAACAGTAACAAAAAAAACCAAACGGAAAACCTGGGTGAATCTCTAAGGACCTGCTACTTAAGAACGGATTAGGATGAAGTCTCTCTAGTCCTTCAAAAACCTTACAGTTGATGGGAATGCACCCTACATGGTGTTCTCCCAAGGAACACGTCTGCCAGGATGCACCTAACGGGGAGTAAGTGGAAGCAGCATAAAGAGAAGGGCTTCCTTCCTCTCTGTTCCCCTAGAGTCTGTTCTCCAAAGGGCAGCCAGAGCCATCTTCTAAAGCCTATCAGACCCTATCGCGTTGCTCTTCAAAACCTTGCATGACTTCTCATTTCCACTCCGAAAAATCCCAAGTCTTCACAGTAGCCTACAAACCATCCCTCACCCCTACGACCTGTTCCCCATCTACCACCCTGTCCCTTCTGGCCCCTCCCTCCTGTGGCAGTTGCTCCCCCTGCCTAAAGCACTCTTCACTGGACATCCATTTGGCCTCCCTTCCTCTCCCTTCAAGTCTTTGTGGGTTGTCACCTCCTCACTGAGGCCTCTGTGCCTCCATTCCCTGCCTGGTCTATCTTCTCTCACATCGTGCTCATCACCTAACACGCTAGGCACATTTCTTATTCATGAGGCCTGTCTCACACACGAGGATGCCCTTCCTGAAGCAGCTCTGCTTCCACCATGATGGAGTGGGCACTTATTGTTTGCAGACTGAACAGAATGAATGAGGCAGGTGGGAGGCGGGGGAATGGCTGCTGGGTGCTTCCCTTCACCTCGCTGTGCAGCCTCTGGGTGTATTTCTCCATGACCAGGGGGTCTATGGGTTCTTGAGAAGGGAGGTTGATGTCAGGGATAGGGTCTTCCAAGGAAAACCTGTCCCGACTTGTAGATTTTATGACTTTCTTGTCGTCCTTTGCCCTGTGCTTCTTGCTGTTGGGACGGTCCTGCTGGGAGAGGGAGACACACACAGCCTTCAGGAGCACCAGAGGTAGGCCCAGGATGTCCTCAACAGTAGCTCACTGGGAGAGCCTGGGCACATGCCCACCTCCACAGCCCCCACGTCTGCAGCCCCTCCAATCCCCTCCCCAGCCCCACCTGGCCCAGACCACGCCCCAGCATGACTCCTTCCCGAGTACCCTGGCTCCTTTCTTGTCTTCTTTGTCTTTGATCCCCAGTTGCTTCTTTTCCTGGGCTGCTCCTTTCCGCTCCTCCTTCCCAACTTTCCCCACAGGTACCTTCACTTCCATGATGGCAGGTGATTTTTGATCTAAGGGAGGTGGGTGGAAGAAAATGTGACAGGCCCCCAGCAGCCTAGTGGATGCTGCAGGCACGTGAGGAGGCTTGAGGGGAGGTGGAAAAGCAAAGGACAATAGCCTTGAGCCCTGGTAGGCGCGTGACTTCATGAAACAGGACTGTGGTGTTTCTGTGTTCTGGTCCCGGCTCTGCCATGCTCCCATGAACGACCATGGATAAGTCATTTAACTTTGCTGGGATTACTAAACCAAGGTGGTCACTAAGGTAGCTTCTGGGTACCACATCCTGGCAGCTGACAGAAGGGGGTAAGGGGCCTCCTCCATGGACTCAGCCTAGCAGAGCTTCCACCATAGGAGTATGACTGGCCCAGGCACTGCTGCCTGTCCATTCAGAGAGATGAGGAGGGCTATGCAGAGGTGTGGTTGGTTGCACAAGATCTGACCTTGCTCTTCAGGCACATTCAAATAGATGGTCTCCTTCTCAGGCAGGCCCAGCAGAGACCTCAGCCACAGGGAATGGCTCACCAGGCTGTCAATCACATCTCGCCATAGCTGCAAACTAGAGGGCAAGATATAGTGGAGAAATGCCATCACTCCTCATTTGTCCTTGAACCTGCAGAGGCTTGGGTCCCTCTCTTCAAAGACCCTGGTGCCAGGAACTGCTGTGGAAATGCCACACGCCTGAGCAGCCAGCATCCTCACTGTTCGCCACCAGGGCAAGTGCTTGGAGGGGGTTCTGGCTTGCCTTGGGTGGCAACCAAGAAAAAACATGGCCCAGGACTAGGGTTAGGAGGTCTGCATGAATTCAGTCCTACTTCAAAGGGCTTGAGGCCAGGGCCAGACTTGGGCCCAGTCCCACTGGAGGGGCTGAACCTTGCATGAGACTTCCAGCGTAAGGCTCTTGGGGCTTGTCCTGAGGGCCTTGAAAAGGACCCCACGCCTATACAAGCAAGTTCCAAACAGGCACCAGGGAGGGTGACAGCAGAGAAGTGAAGCTTTTAATGGAATCTGCCCCCACCCTTCTTTCTGCCCTCTGGCTTCTCCTTTTTTCATTCCTCTGCTCATTGAGAAGGAAAAAGGAAAAAACAGGAAGAAAAAAAAGTGAAGGTGTTTGATCTGCTGTGACTGCTCTCCAGTGAGCAGCAGGCACCGCAGGGTTCCAGAACATGGAATGTTTGCGGCATGCTCTAGCAACCTGAGCTCAAGGGAAACTCAGAGCCCTGGAGTCCCAAGACCCCTGCAGATGCCACAAAGGGAAGGAGATGGGGCGGCTCTCCTGGCAGGGCACCTACCCCATCTGGTGCAGGAGGTTGGACTGCAATGGCCTTGGCTTCTGGCACAGCTCCAGGGCTGCTTTGTTGAGCCTCATCAGCGCATCCTCTCTCTGGTTCTCATCAGGGAGCACCATCACTGCCTGGCAGGGTCATGGGCACCATTCTGCACCAGGACACCAAGGCTCTCTGTGTCCTCTAGTGAAGGGCATGGTGATGTGGGGATGGGTGGCAGGGGACCAGAAACCAGGAGGGGATGCAGCCATGGAGAGCTGTCTGGGTGCCTTTGGTGGGAGCCAGGGACTCCCCTCAGAAATCTGTACCTATGAACCCCTTCTCCAAGATTTGCCAGGGTCAGAGAGTGGGCCCCCCTCCTGGAACATAGAAGCGCGGGCACCCCAGACAAAAACAGGTAACCCGGCTGGGCACGGTGGCTCACACCTGTAATCCCAGCACTTTGGGGGGCTGAAGCGGGTGGATCACCTGAGGTCAGGAGTTCGAGACCAGCCTGACCAACATGGTGAAACCCCGTCTCTACTAAAAATACAAAATTGGCCTGGCATAGTGGCTCACGCCTGTAACACCAGCACTTTGGGGGGCCAAGGTGGGTGGATCATGAGGTCAGGAGTTTGAGACCAGCCTGGCCAACATAGTGAAACCCCGTCTCTACTAAAAATACAAAAATTAGCTGGATGTGGTGGTGCACGCCTGTAGTCCCAGCTGCTCTGGCAGGCTGAGGCAGGAGAGTCACTTGAACCCGGGAGGCAGAGGTTGCAGTGAGCCGAAATTGCACCACTACACTCCAGCCTGGGTAACACAGCAAGACTCCACCAAAAAAAATTTAGCCAGGTGTGGTGGCGCATGCCAATAATCTCAGCTACTTGGAAGGCTGAGGCAGGAGAATCGCTTGAACCTGGGAGGCGGAGGTTGCAGTGAGTTGAGATCGTGCCACTGCACTCCAGCCTGGGCAACAAGAGCAAAACTTCATCTCAAAGATTAGATAGATAGATAGATAGATAGATAGATAGATAGATAGATAGATAGATAAGATAGATTAGATAGATAGATAGATAGATAGATAGATAGATAGATAGATAGATAGATAGATAGATAACCCAAGAGATCACTTTCTCTGGGCTCTCAGATTTTGTTTCTTTGCCCATGGAGCAAGAGGGGCTGCTGGGGCCTCCTTTGTTGGTTCGAGGCAGGAATATTCTCTACCAACGCCTTCTAGGGTCTTGGAAGCACCTTTCTGAAATCCTCCAAGCAGAGATTCCACTCCAGCAGGGGAAGGCCATCCGGCTCCCAGGGGCTCTTGGCGCTGTCCACATCTGGGCTTTCCTCCACCAGGATCTCCTCCATGATGCTCTTCTGCTGAGGACTCTTGGTTCCCACTCTGGCCTTCTGGGATCCGGATTCCCTGAGGGCCTCATTCTCAGGCTGGGGCACTTGAGGTTCAGAAATGGTGGGGCTCCTAAAGCGCGGTAAGAGCTCGGCATTCACAGAGGCCTTCTCTGTGGCTATGGGGCTGACGTGCTCCTTGTCTCCTGGCCTGGCCTCCTCAGCGTTGGGGGGCAGAGTCATGTACTGGCGCCACAGTTCATGCAGGCTTTGCACCACTTGGTGCTCGTAATGCAGCTGCAGCAGAAGATGGGAAGGCTTGTGAGGGAGAGGCTGGGGTGCAGGCACCGGAGCCCATGCCAGCTGGACCTGGCTTCTTCCCATTCCCCTGAGAGCACTGATGGAGGAGGCAGGGAGGAAGCCAGCAGGAGGGCTGCAGCCAGAGTGGCCCCCTACTTCCTTTTCAACCTGGGAACCTCCAAGTTGAAGCTATTTTTTTGCATTTGGGCTTCCAAGGAAGCCTGGGTTTGAATGAAGGAGTTGTGAAGCTCCGTTCTCATCAGGAATCCACTTATTAGCAAAATTACCCTGGGCAAATTACTTCATCTTTCTGGGCCTCAGTTTCCTCAATGTAAATGAGGATGTAAATAGTACCAGGGCCAGGCACAATGGCTCAAGCCTGCAATCCCAGTGCTTTGGGAGGCCAGGGTAGGAGGATCACTTGAACCCAGGAGTTCAAGACTGGCCTGTGTGACAGAGAGAGATCCTATCTCTACCAAAAAAAAAAAAAAGAGAGAGAAATTAGCTGAGCATGGTGATGCATGCCTGTAGTCCTAGCTACTCAGGAGGCTGAGGTGGGAGGATCACCTGAGCTGGGGAGTTTGAGGTCACAGTGAGCTATGAGTGGGGACACTGTACTCTGGCCTGGAGTGTGACAGAGTGACATGCTATTTCTAAAAACTAAATAAATAAAAATAAGTAGTACCCATCTCATAGGACTGCTGTGAGGAGAGGTGAGGCATTCATGGAAGATGTGCAGAACAGAGTTTGACACATAAAAGAGTTTGCTATTACTCTCACCTACGGCAGCAGTCACAACCTTTTTGGCACCAGGGACTGGTTTCATGGAAGACAATTTTTCCACGGATGGCAGGGAGTAGGGGAATGGTTTCAGGATGAAACTGTTCCACCTCAGATCATCAGGCATTAGTTAGATTCTCATAAGGAGTGTGTAACCTTGATCCCTCGCATGTGCAGTTCACAATAAGATTTGCGCTCCTATGAGAATCTAATGCCACTGCTGATCTGACAGGAGGCAGAGCTCAGGCGGTAATGCTGGCTCACCCACTGCTCACCTGCTGCTGTGCGACCTGGGGGTTGGGGACCCTTGACTCAGGGCACACGTGATGGGACAGAGGCTGGTGCTGGGCCTCACCTGAGGATTCCTGTGCCGGAACAAGTCTTCCTTGGTGAGATAGGCATCCACAGGTGATGGTGTGCGCTCCGGGGTCAAGACCCCCATCAGCACCTCCTGCAGCACTTCGTGAACGATGGTGACTGCCTCATGGGCCATCAGTTTGCTCTGCAAATGGGAAGGCGGCAGAGGATGGCAGCCCAGGCTCTCAAAACCCATGCATCCTTCAGGAAGTTGGAGCCCCCAGGACTTTGTGCCTTCCTAGGGTCTGAGTTCCTGGCATTGGCGCTCTCTCTCTCTCTCTCTCTTTTTCTCTCTCTCTCTCACACACACACACACACGCCTGTTCTAAGACCCGAAAGCCTCTGAATCTCTCCAGACATCCTTGTTCCTTAAAATGGATGAAAAGGATCCAGAGGAGGGCCAGTTCCAGGGAAGGCTGCTGCTGCCTGGGGCCTGGTGGTCACACAGTTAGCATGTCACCAGATTAGGAAGAAGGGGTGGGGCACACAGTGGGGGTGCTTCTGAGGATGGTGGTGAACCTTCATCAGGCTTTAGTCAGTGTCACAGAAACACAGGGGAGGGGCACCTTGTGTGAGACATGAGTGCTACAGTCAGTGAGTAAAGCAAGCATGACATTGTCAAAATGACCTTTGATCACCACTGGCTGAGCTCCAGCTGAAGGAGCCGGCCTTGTGACTGGGGACCACAAAAAACAAAAAAGCGCAGCTTTCTACCAAATCCCAGGATGCATGGCTCAGATGGCCACACTGTGAAACTGATTCGGGGGAACAGATTCCCAGCTCCCACCTCACACTCACTCCAGAGTTGTCAGCTGATTGAGTGGGACGGTGGGCAGACTCACCCTGCTATTTATTAATTATTATCCCTGGTTTTGAAGTCTTGTCGGTTAAACACAACTCCACTGTATAGTACTAGACAGCGATGAACAAAACACAGACCAGTGCATAGGGCCACGCATTATTTGTACTTTACACAGTCTGCCTCTTAGGCTCAGTCTAATTTCTTTCTAACTCAGTGGGGCCATGCATGGCATTGCTGCAAGCTGCTCCTCACCTGCCTAGCCAGTGCACCCATCTTTTACATCACAAGCCCTGGGAAGTGTTCGTGGAGCAAAAGTAGTTACCTGTTTGCTAAAAATTCAGTTCTCCTCTTAGGCTGGGAGAAATACCATCCCTGCAGGCACTGCCAGGAAGAATAGCAGGATACCCTAGCCGATGCCCACAGCGGCCATGGTCCTGGGTCCCTTACCTCCAGTACTTTCCTCTCATCCTCAAAAACATCCTGGGTCAGGGAGACTGCATGGAGATTGACTTGTAGCACAGCACCTCCTAATAGAGTAGGATGGGTTCGAAACTCCCAAAATTCCCTGAAGATCCCAGCAGTCAAAGACTTGAAGAAGAAGGTAAAGGTTTTAGTTTCTCCAGGCAGAATCACACCTGAGAGGGACAGAGACTGAGGTTTTCAACATGCAGGAGCTGGCTGAGCCCCAGACCTGTATGCTGCTACATGCAGTTAACTGAGCCCCAGGCCAGGTGACTGGCCAACCATCCCAGTTTGCCCAGGGCTGAGAGGTTTCCTGGAAAGGGGGATTTTGAGTGCTAAAGTCCCAGGCAAACAGAGACAGCTGGCCACCCTAGCTCCAGGCCTGTGCATCTAGATAACTGAGCCCCTAGAACGTTTCTGCTCCCAGGTGGCTCACGTCCCCAGGTTCTCAAGTTCCGTCAGTCTCTCAACAGACATGAATAGTCAGGCCACACATTTTACGGAAGGAATGAGAGGGACTCAAACTTACAGGAGCTGGGTCATAACTAAATTTTGATGTCTCACGAGGATAAAACCAGCCCCAGACAGGAGCCAGCGTGTAGGGTGGCTTCTCCCAAGTACCTTCCCGGCTGTTAAAGTAAAATCGCTGCATCCTGTTTTTCTTCAGGTCTTGGAAAGTGTCCGGTTGGTGCTGCCGTCGCCAGTCATACCAAATGGCCACGGTGCCATTATTGACCACAGTCAGTTCTGAGGAGGTTTTCTCGCCTTCTAGGGTTTCAAAGGTCAAGTGAACAGCAATCCCGACCTGCCTCTGGAAGGAGAAGGGACAAATGTCTTTGCTGGAGACCCTGGCCTAGAGTGAGCAACTCATCTGGTCTGCCCAGGACTTTTCTGGCTTTAGCACTGCAAGTCTCGTGTCCCAGGCCTCCAGGGCTTGGCCACTGTCACACAGAGTGATATCCTACTCCAATGTGGTTGATCTCTGAGGTTACCCTCAATAGTAAGAAGAGAAGATAATATATATATAAATATAATTATATATATATTTATATAGAATTTTTTTTTGAGACAGAGTTTCGCTCTTGTCACCCAGGTTGGAGTGCAATGGTGTGATCTCAGTTCACTACAACACTGCCTCCCAGGTTCAAACAATTCTCCTGCCTCAGCTTTCCAAGTAGCAGGGATTATAGGTGTCCGCCACCACGCCCTGCTATTTTGTATTTTTAGTATAGAAATAGGGTTTCACCATGTTGGCCAGGGCTGGTCTTGAACTCCTGATGTCAGGTGATCCAGCCACGTCAGCCTCCCAAAGTGCTGGGATTACAGGCGTGAACCTCCACGCCTGGTCAGATAAAATATATTTTATACCCAATGAACATTTCTATTCCTTAGCATCTGAAGAATATCTTAGAACCTTCTTAGAGCCATACCTACTTGAGAGAGTTTGCTTGTTTACATGCTTGGGGGCTAGGTATAAGCCCCAAGTGGCTTATGACAGTCTGCAGCCTTGTGATTTTATTCTTGCTCAAGTTAGTATTGCTGTCACCATTTTCAGATAAGCTGAATGCACGACCAGATAAAAACGCAAACAGGAGACTGTGCAGGCTGCTGGTAACTGCCACAGACACCTCGGGGCTGCACCCCCGAGGGAGGCCCTCCCAGCAGGTGCGGTGGAGGCAGTTTTACCTTGTTCTGTGGATTACTGCCTCTGATCCAGCAAGCTGGCTTCCCACAGAACAGAAGAGAAGGGCCGAGAATAGGCATGGGGACATCAGAGGAACTTGCCAATGTGCCTCTGTAAGAAAAGCCAATGACTTATTTTCTCTTAGGCTGCCAGTCATGCCATGTGGAACCCACAGAAATGGTCACCAGGAAGCCTAGAAACACAACCAGCTCCACCCTGCAATGGAGTATGATCAACCCCACTCCTGTGCAGCTTCCTCCTGACCCATTGCTCTAGGTGGGAGGTTCTTAGAAACACACAGACTCTTCAAGCCCTCCTGCCAGAGCTATTCATGGTACACAGAAATACATAGACTCTCCATGCCAGAGGCGTTCAAGATGCACAGCAGTGGGAGGGTCTAGAGAGCCCTCACTTGACCAGCAAGGGAATGTCTGGGAAATCCCCATTAGGAGTTAGTTGTTGGAAAGGAGCAGGTGGCAACAGGAAAGCTAGCACAGCTGCTGGAATGGGTTCAAGGAGTGGGTGGCAACCACTGGAGAGAAGCTAGGCTGGAGGCACCCTGATCTCAGGGAGGGAAGCCTGCTCTTTCATACTGGTAGTTGCTGGAGAACTCTTCAGCCTCCCTCCCCCGGGTTCAGGCTGCACTCACAAGTATGTTGTCTCTTCAGAGGAGCTTCCCTGACTTCTTTCAAACACTGTGTAGTCTTCCACAGTAACAGCTGAGAAGGGCTGCCCTTTGCCCACCACCTCCAGGCCATCAATATCCTCCGAGAGACGGAGAAAGGTTAGAAGAGCTGACTGAAGACAGGCACTGCCCCAAGAGGTTTCTGACTGGGGCATGGAGGCCATACTAACCTGCTGGCTGAAATCCAGCTCTGCCATGATTTTCTGCAGCTCCTTGCGTCGGTAGATCAGAAATAGACTCCGATCCCAGGTGTAGCGGTATGAAGCGTCCCTCTGGGCTGGTAATCCTAGCATGAGGTCCAAGGACCCTCAACACAGGCTGCTGCCATGCCCCCTTGCTCACCCACTTCTCAAGGGCTCTGAGAGTGCCTATCCCAACACCATTTCTAGGAAGGATGAAAAATACAGCTTCCCTGCAGCAGCTGGACTCCGCTCTCCTGTCCCGTATCTCCTCAGCAGCCCTACACAAGACTCCTGCAAAATTAGCTTCCAAATAGCCAAATTTTTGGATTATAGTAAAAATGATAATAGCAGCTACCTTTTATTGAGTGCTTAACAATGAGTCAGAACTTAATACATTTCATATCTCATTTAGCCCTGTCACAACTCTGTGCATATTTTACAGATAAGGAAACTACAGGCCAGAGGGGTTCAACCACTCTGGCGTTCACTAACACGACATGGCTGGGACCTGAACCCAGGCAGCCTGGCAAGCTCTAAAGCAGATATGCTCAAGAGAAACAGGATGCAAACCACAAACACAAGCCACATGTGTCACTGAAAGTTTTCTAGATGCCACACTGAAAAAGGAAAAAACAAACAGGTGGGATTCATTTTAGTAATATAGTTTATTTATTTTATTTATTTATTTATTTATTTTTTGAGACAGAGTTTTGCTCTTGTTGCCCAGGCTGGAGTGCAGTGGCACGATCTTGGCTCACTGCAACCTCCACCTCCCAGATTCAAGCAATTCTCCTGCCTCAGCCTCCTAAGTAGCTGGGATTATAGGCACGCACCACCATGCCCAGCTAATTTTTGTATTTTTAGTAGAGATGGGGTTTCACCATGTTGGCCAGGCTGGTTTTGAACTTCTGACCTCAAGTGATCCATCTGCCTCAGCCTCCCAAAGTGCTGGGATTACAGGCGTGAGCCACTGTGCCCAGCCTCATTTTAGTAATATAGTTTATTTAACTCAGTATATAAAAAATATTGTCATTTTGACATGTAATCAATATAAAAATGATTAATAAAATATATTGTTTTCACACTAAAGCCAGTGTCCAGTTGATAGCACTTCTCAGTGCAGGGCAGCCACAGTCCAGGTGCTCACCGGCGGCATGCAGCTCAAGGCTCCACACTGGACGGCAGCTCTATGGCTGCACTCCAGTTTCCTAGCTCTCTCACTGTTTTACTGAAGAAAAGGAAGAGGGAGCCAGACTTCAGGAAGACTCTGGGACTTGCCTAAGGCCACAGAGAAACAGGCCCTGGGCCGCACTGTAGAGCCATGCTGGCCACTGCCACACTACCCTGCCTCTGGGCCAGGCACAAGATGCCAGCTGGCTTACAGCCCTGCGCCTCACCTGTCTCCACCCGGATGGAGTGGGGCTTCCCGATGTGAGTGATGGGCTCCATAAGGCCACGCTGAGTTTTTGTCTTGGTCATGACCAGACCTGTCATCTCATCTCCCAAGTATTCCAGTCGACTCCAGAACCCACTGTTCTCCCAGCTCTGGCAAGGAAGGAAAGGTGAGTCAGATTACCTGGACACCTCAGCCAGATGCTGGTGGAGATGTGAGAAGACAAGCACCACCACAGGCTACAGATGCTCCCTCTGGGGAATTCACTGCTGCCATGATTGCAGAACAGAAGCATCCACTGCTGCGTTTTCTGGACACCCTGTTGTCATCTTTTCCTGCCCCCAGCCAGATGGTGTGGGTTGGTACAGGTACTGCACTGGTCTACCAGAACAAAGAGGGGGGGACTCTTCAGCCTCTCTCCTTAGGGTGTAGGCTCCACTCAGTCTAAGCTCCTAGGAGACAAACACTAAGACTACTCTAATAACTCGCTACCTGTGTGGCCACCACAGGCTGAATAACTTTACTGACTAATCACAGAATTTAGTAAAGGCCTTGAGGGCTTAATGATGCTTTGCAATGGATAGGTTTTTTCTCCCCAGCTGTGCCACCTGAAACCAGCATCCCTGTGTCCAGACACCTGCCCCCCACCCCCCTCCTCCGTGCCACCCCCCGCCCCCCGGGCACTTAGGACAGGTGGCCTCACTTTCCTATCACGCCGCGTTGGAAGTGTGCAGTCAATGAGCTCCCGCTCCTCCTGGATCCGTCTGTAGGTCTCCCCAGTGTGCATGAGCAGCTCACTGATCGGCTTCTTTAGGTGTTCTAGAGAGAGAGGCAAGATTGCAGCCACTCTGCCAAACCAGAACAAACAGGGGCCTTGGCAGTCGGCAGTCTGCATCGGGCAGCCTCCCTCACGGGGCTGATTTCAGGACCCACTGAAGCTTCAGAGTGAGACACTCTTGGGAGTGAACAGCACAAATGTGGTCAGCCCAAGGCCAGGCTCTGGAGGAGTAAACAATCCAGCAGAGCCTTGCACCAGATGGAGGCTGGGCGGGAGCCCTGTCTGCTCTGCTCACCACTGAGGGCTTCCTGCTGCTTCTTCCGCAGGGCTATGTTACGCTGCCAGTTTTTCAGAAAGTTGTGCTGAGGAGGTGGGGCCCAGGGAGGTCTCTTCTCTTCTTTTGGGGCTTTTTGCTTTGACTCTCCTTTAGCAGAGATGAGGGTCATCAGACAGGGTGAGGTAGGTATCAGCTCAGCCAGCTGAAAAGTACAACATAGGCATGTGGAGGGCGGTGCGAAGGCTCTGGGCGGGGCTGAGCACACATTTCCTGAGGCCTAAACCCATGCTGTTATCCCACTGTGCTGAGAATCCCTCCTCTTCAGGACTCCAGGGTAGCCAGTGACAGAAAATAAATCCCAGAACCAGGGGGCCCTGAAAGCAGCTGTCAGTCCACTCTCCCACAGAAAGGGAACTTCTGTTTCAAGATTGGGGTCAACATCTTCTAGTGTTATTGGTCCTCCTCACAACTGACGTTGATTGACACCTTCACCCATGTGTAAATGGAAGCATTCTTACATGGCCCCAGGCCCCTTAGCGCCTGACCAGAGTCAGCCTGGATCCAGGGAAGCAAGGGGAAGAGACAGGAGAAGCACTGCATGATGGGAAGGTTGAAAAGATACAGAATCTTCCCATGGCCCAGGAAGCAGTGGGAAGCCACCTTCCTCCACCACGTGGAGTGAGGAGGGCAGGCCAGTCTCCAGAGAAGGGAAAATCAAGACAGTGCACAGAGCAGAAGGAAATGAGGCATGTGGGCCCTGAGTCCTGATGCCTTTCTGGGTTCAGTCTACTCAGACCCAGGTACTCCCACCTTTGGGTTCCATGAGGCAGTCTCTGGAATCCTTACAGTAAATCCCCAACTTCACTGAAGCCAGCTTCAGCTGCCTTTTGTGCCTTGCAACTGAAGTGTCTAACTATTCTGGGAGAGGGTCCCTTATCAACTCAGACTCGAAACCTAGAGACTAAACTGTCTCTTTAACCCCAGCCCTGCTCGACTCTGTCAGGTGGAAGACCGAAATGACTTCAGTGACTGCTGTCATCCGGGTAGTTCTGTGCAAACAAACCCGGGTGTTCCCTCGAGCAAGTGCAATTCTCTTAAAGTCCTGGAGACTCCCCAAGATGTGGTGGGGCAGGATCTGGTCACTGCCATCGAAGCTGTCACCGGGACCTGTGAGGATAAAAGAAGAAAGGGGAAAGAAGCTGTGGGTGGGCAACTCTCAAGAGGGCAACTTTCTGATGGAGACTGGGTTTCTCTTGAGGTTGACCCATGAGTTGAAAGACAGTAAAGCCAGGGCTGAGACTGGGTGTACCAGAGTAGTCCAGAGGCTTTGTGGCTGCATCGGGATTTGCAGGACGTGCTACAAGGTGGCAGACCTTCCTCCTAGGATCCGTGGGTTTGAGTTTACGGATGATAAATTTCTGGGTAATGACGCGTTTATCTTCCTTTTCAGTAAGGCGAGGAATATGTTGCTAAAAATAAATAAAACAAAGGAGAATTCCACCTGTGGTGGAAGGAGGAAGAGCACCACCCATCTCCTCCGTTCTAGTTCTAGGTGGAGTTCCTGAAGGCTGACAGATCTGTGTCTTCAGCTCTGCCCATATGTTCTGTTGAGGAAATGCCTGTGTAACAGATATGTGACTTAGTAATATCCTGGAGGGAAAAAAAAGAACATCTTATGCCTCCAGATAGTTCAGGTGAGAGGTGGCTGACTCTCCCAGGTGAAGCATGGGGTTAGGGTTTAGCAGCTTTACCCAGAGCTGTACCTTTGCTCCTTAAACTCATCCTCCGTTCTGTGAAATGGGAATGATGGCACCTACCTCTATGGGAACAAGATACCTCATCATCTCATTTCCCCCGTGGTTCTATAGGAATCTCAGAAATGTTAAAACAGACAACACAGTGAATTCCTTAAGGTGGTAAAGTGAAAAGAATCTGTGTTCAGTGGATTTTTGCATGGAGTTAGACACTCCCCATGAGTAGGGAGATGGTGGGAAGACAGTGGACATGGCTGGTGTTCTAGACCACTCAGGCTGCTGGCAGGGAAACGTTTCTATGATAAGGGAAGCTTAGGCTTCATCCTCACCTCCTTCAAGTCTTCCTTCTTAATGGCCAAAGCAAGAATGTCATCTCCTTGTAGGACATTGCTAACAGGTTCAGGCTCTTCCTGAATTGGGGGTGTGGGTTGTTCAGGTCCCTTTGCCCGTTTCTTTTCTGAAGAGAAGCAGAAAGTTATTAAGTCCTTAAAGAGCTCCTTCTGTATATGTCAATATATACACACAAAAGTATAAATATATACTAGACTCCATGGGGGGGCAGTGCAGAGCCGACCAGCTGAAGAGATAGCAGAGGCTGCCAAGGTGGCCTGGGCGGCACTTTGCTGGGGCAAGAGGAGTTCCCTCTGGAGGGTCCCCCTACCCACAGCCTCTGGCTCACCACAGTGACTAAGACTTCTGTAGCCAGAATTTAGATCAGAAGATGCTTCATTTCAGGCCAGGTATGGTGGCTCATGCCCGTAATCCCAGCACTTTAGGAGGCTGACACAGGAGGATCACTTGAGGCCAGGAGTTCGAGACCAGCCAGCCAACATGGTGAAACCCCGTCCCCACTAAAAATACAAAAATTAGCCAGACCCATGCCTGTAGTCCCAGCTACTCGGGCAGCTGAGGCAGGAGAATCACCTGAGCCCGGGAAGTAGAGGTTGCAGTGAGTTGAGATTGCGCTACTGCACTCCAACCTGGGCAACAGAGCGAGACTCTGTCTCAAAAACAAAACAAAACAAAAAGATGTTCATTTCGGGTGCCATGGTGCAAGCCTGGAATCCCAACACTTTTGAGAAGCCAAGGCAGGCGGATTGCTTGGGCCCAGGAGTTCAAGACTAGCCTGGGCAACATAGTTGAGACTCCATCTGTACAAAAACGATTATTTTTAATATGCAAAAAGATGTTCCATTTCAGGTTATGCTATTTATAAGCTGGACAGTCTTGGGCACACATCACTTAACCTCTCTAGGCCTCAGGCTCCCCATGTGTACAAAGAGTCAGTTGGACTAAATCAGTGGTTCCCAACTATTAGTCCAATGTCTGCCTCAGAATCTTGGGAGGAGTTTTATGAATACAGCTTCCTGGCTACTGCATGGAGCCAGGGCCTAGGGAGCTGTAATTTTTTCAACTCCCTAGGTGATTCTGATGCACAGTGGTTTGGGACAACTGAACTAGATGTTTTGCCAGTGTCCTCCAGTGCTGGCACTGATCCATGCTTCTGGGTGAAGGCATTGGGTTTCATAAGACACTGGTTAAAATGCAGAATCTCTGTGGGGGAAGCAGAACATTCACCACTGGCCATTTACTGCACACTATTTCATTAAATAAAGATTGTTGAGCGGGCGCGGTGGCTCAAGCCTGTAATCCCAGCACTTTGGGAGGCCGAGACGGGCAGATCACGAGGTCAGGAGATTGAGACCATCCTGGCTAACACGGTGAAACCCCGTCTCTACTAAAAAATACAAAAAACTAGTCAGGCAAGGTGGCGGGCGCCTGTAGTCCCAGCTACTCGGGAGGCTGAGGCAGGAGAATGGCATAAACTTGGGAGGTGGAGCCTGCAGTGAGCTGAGATCCGGCCACTGCACTCCAGCCTGGACAACAGAGCGAGACTCCGTCTCAAAAAAAAAAAAAAAAAAAAAAAGATTGTTTAAGCAGCTTCTCCGTGCCAGGCACTGTGCTAGGTTCTGGGGATCTATGTCAGAGCTTGTCTTTAAAGAGCACATGCCCAGTGGGAAACAAGACCGTGAAACAGACTGAACCAGAGTAATTACAGGAACATGGTGGGGAGGAATACCCAGCCCAGAGTCGGCAGGTGTGGGAGGCGGGGGGGGGGTCAGGGAGGGCTTCCTAAGGAAGGGATGTTTAAACAGAGCTGAAGAAAGAAGTTGAGAAAGGAAAGGGCCCTGGGGAACAGGCATTCCAAAGAAAATAACATAAAGAGGCATAGAGGCAAGATAATGGAGCACATCCCTGGAACTCAAAGCATGTGTTTTTAAATAGCTGGAGTGTGGTGAGGTGGGAGGGAAGAGGCAGAGCCCAGAGAGAGCAGCAGCAGCCATATCGTGCAGAGCTCAGTGAGCCATGTGAAGGCTTACCCCATGGGTAATACAGCATGCCAAGGAATGGATTAAGAGTTGCAAGATCTTGGGAGGCCAAGGCAGGCAGATCGCTTGAGCCCAGCAGTTCAAGACCAGTCTGGGCTCTATAAAGAAAATACAAAAATTACCCAGGCATGGTAGTACATGCCTGTAGTCCCAACCACTTGAGAGGCTGAGGGGAAGGACAGCCTGAGCCCAGGAGGTCAAGGCTGCAGTGAGCCAAGATTGTGCCACTGCATTCGAGCCTGGGTGACAGAACAAGACCCTGTCTCTAAGAAAACAAAACAAAAAGTCCTGCAAGACCGAGATGAGCGTATGAATGTATTTAAGAGTCTGTTGTGGCAGCCAGAGCATGACATTGACAACACCTGGGGCAGAAGGGGGTCACAGGTCATTTTCCAACGAGGACACACTCCCTGCCTTCCTTTCACAGAGGTGGCTTAACAGGTTCAAACACATCTCATTTCTCTGGCTGGTCAACCCTGTCATTTTCCCTCTGGTTCAGAATGGTTTGATATAAGGCCCTACATAAAACAATCAAAAGAAAATCTAAGTTCTGCCTTTAGGGAGTTTAAAACAAAATTTAGTTTTATCCACTGCTTCTCACAGCACCGTAATCTTTAAGAGGCAGTATCACTAAAACATCAAGGCAGGTGTTTTGGTTAATAAAATCAAACTTTTTTTAAGGAAATTTCCATAAAGTTAGTGGCCAAAAAAACTTACACCAAAATCATTCCAAACATAGTTCTGAATTCAGCCTGTTGGCCAGGTGCAGTGGCTCACGCTTGTAATCCCAACACTTTGGGAGGCCGAGATGGGAGGACTGCTTGAGGCCAGGAGTTCAAAACCAGCCTGGGCAACACAGGAGAACCTATCCTTAAAAATTTTTTTGTTTTTCTGTTAGAAAAAAATAATAAATTCGGCCTATCATCCACAGTCTGTTTCTGTAATGGGGTCAGCGAAGGTTCGGGAGTATCTGTCTGTTAAATGCATGCCTCTGTGCACACAAACACACATGCGGGGCTGACAGCTGAACCCCGAGTTCCAGTGTCATCTGCCGCCAAGTGTGGAGATGCAGCCTTGGGCTTTGATTTCTACCTCCCCTCTCCCTTCTACACAAACTCACCAAAGTGGGTGGCAGCCTATGAGAACTGAGATCAGTTGAAGGTCTGCTTTTGTAAATATTTTGGTATTACCTGTATTTTCTAGGACATTTGCTTTCTCCATCCATAACCTTGACTGGGTTGACACCTTTCCAAGTGATTAAACATCTCCAGATGTGTGTTTTTTACTGGTGGGTACACAATTACCACGTGTCAACAGAAACTTTCAACACTGCTAAAGATTTTTGGGGGCCAAAGTTCGCATCCCTTCAGTGATAGAGAAGCCAATCTTTCATGTTTGGTTTAGATTGAAATAGTAAAACTCTGGTCTAAGGTTATTCTGAGAAAGTTATCTTTAATGTAGTCCAATAAATGCTCTGTTACTGCATACAGTCAAGGAGTGGTATGTTCTAGTTAATAAAATATTCATTAAAATGATATATACATTTTTTTTTTTTCTTGAGATGGAGTCTCACTCTGTCCCCCAGGCTGGAGTGCAGTGGCGTGATCTTGGCTCACTGGTGCGATCTCGGCTCACTGCAACCTCCACCTCCCAGGCTCAAGTGATTCTCCTGCCTCAGCCTCCCAAGTAGCTGGGAATACAGGCATGCGCCACCACGCCCAGCTTTTTTTTTTTTTTTTTTTTTGAGATGGAGTTTCGCTCTTGTTGCCCAGGCTAGAGTACAATGGCATGATCTCAGCTCACTGCAATTTCCGCCTCCCAGGTTCAAGCGATTCTCCTGCCTCAGCCTCCCAAGTAGCTGGCATTACAGGCATGCACCACCATGCCCGGCTAATTTTTTGTATTTTTAGTAAAGGCTGGGTTTCACCATGTTGACTAGGCTGGTCTTGAACTCCTGACCTCAGGTGATCCACCTGCCTCAACCTCCCAGAGTGCTGGGATTACAGGCATGAGCCACCGCGCCCGGCCGCCCAACTATTTTCTGTATGTTTAGTAGAGACAGGGTTTCACCATGTTGGCCAGGCTGGTCTCAAACCCCTGGCCTCAGGTGATCCACCTGCCTCAACCTCCCAGAGTGCTGGGATTACAGGCATGAGCCACCGCGCCCAGCCACCCAACTATTTTCTGTATGTTTAGTAGAGACAGAGTTTCACCATGTTGGCCAGGTTGGTCTCAAACTCCTGACCTCAGGTGATGTGCTCGCCTCAGCCTCCCAAAGTGCTGGGATTACAGGCATGAGCCACTGTGCCCAGGGATATATATATCTTAAATTGCTCCTAGGGACCGTTTACCAAGCCTCTTCTATGTGCTATAAACTACAAAGATAGTATAAAAGGTTAAGATATGGCTCCTTCTCTTGAGGTACTGAGAAATGTAACAGACGTGAATATACACCAATCATAACATAGTAGAGGAGTTCCTACATTTGCAGTACAGGCAATAGGTTTGGTTAGACATCAAAAAAGGAACAGATCCATGTGGATTACACAGTTCAGGGCTCTGAAGAAGGGTTCAGAGGAACAGGTGCAGAGGTGGCTCCACAGGCTGAGGCAGGCCTCAAAGGAGAGACAGGTAGAGGTATAGCAGCAAACCGAGATGCTCCAGGTGAGGTCAAAGTCCAAGCAAACCAGGGAGCAGGGCTGAGCATGGCATGTGAGTGGCACGATAACACAGAAAACTTGCTGGGGAGGTGGTGATGTTGGGGATGAGAGGGAAACCAGAGCATGACAGCTTTGTAAAGCATGGCTCAGGCATCTGATCTTTGGTCCAGGGGAGTGAGTTGATGACAGGCGCATTTCAGAATGATTCATCAGATGCGGAGAGCCAGATGGACCGGAGAGGCAGAGGCAAGCTGGGAAGACCAGGGAAGGAAGAGCCCCAGGGATCATTTTAGGACCTGCAGGAAGACTCCACAGGGCTGAGGTATGTCTGACTACTGAGCCTGTAGAGGCCCAGCACTCTCTGGTTCTTTGGTCTGGAATCCCAAGCTATAGGGCTCCTGGTGAGCTACCCAGCTGACATTTCTCCCTTGATGCTGACAGTGAGGGGTAAAAGGGACCACCCCGCTTGCATGGGGTAATCAGTCAGTCTCTGTTGGAGCTGGACCAGAGGGCTGGAAGCAAGGTGCTCAGGTGGGGATAGGAAGGGAGATGCAGAGGGGGGAACTATGGAGGGAGACGAAACCTGGACTCTTTCTGCTTCTTGTTTTATCTGAGTATTATTCGGTTTTAGTGTTGATTAAAGTCTTTGGGAAATTCTGACCTTAGGGTTGGGCTGGGGGAACCATGGAGGGGCTGTCCCTACTAGGGGGGAGCTTTAATTCGTTGGGGAGGGGAATCTAATACTGCTGGGAGGGTTCTTGGCTTCTTAGCAACAAGACAGCAGGGGTAGGGGGGCACATGGCGGGAAGGCAGGGTACTGGGACTCAAAAAGGCTCTCAGGTCCCAAGAAACAGGTTTAAGTCACTGTTTTTGCTTTCCTTTTTGCTTAAGAATCAGAGACTTTGGAGAAACATCGCACAAGGTTACAAGATTACATTTGGTCATTAGCTGCCTTATATGGGGGCTGGGGGAGAGTGCTGCACTACAACATTACAGGCTTCCCTGAGATATTTTTAAAAAGATATCTTGCATGCTAACCACTTCATTTTTTTTCCCCTCCTCACTCTGGTGCATGTTCTTAACTCAAGGGTTAATTAACAAACTAAATTTTCTGCTTATTAAAAATAAATATGGAGTAAAAAAATCTTTCTTTGATTTGTTTATAGCAGTTCAAATCTGATAAGATCTCCCAGAAACTATGTGAGCAGGAGGCAGTAGCTAGGAAAGCCCTTGACTGCCCTTGGGAAAGGGGACCAGATATTCCCTCTCTCTCAACTAGTAAACAGTATGTCATGGGCCAGGCATGGTGGCTCCTGCCTGTAATCCCAGCACTTTGGGAGGCCAAGGTGGGAGGATCGCTTGAGCCCAGGAGTTCAAGACCAGCCTGGGCAACTTGTCTCTACAAAAAAAAAAAAATTAGTTGGGCATGGTGGTGTGTACCTGTAATACCAGCTACTTGGGAGGCTGAGGCAGGAGGATCGCTTGAGCCCAGAAGTTCAAGGCTATAGTGAGCTATGATTGTACCACTGCACTCCATCCCGGGTGACAGAGTGAGGCCCTGTCTCAAAATACATATATATATATAATGTCATAAAACAGCATTGGACTTTTATTTTTTTAATAATGGGGGTCTCACTGTGTTGCCCAGTCTGGACTGCAGTCAGCTATTCACAGGTGTGATCATGAACTCCTGGCCTGGAACAATCCTCCTGCCACAGCCTCCTGAGCAGCTGAGACTGCAGATGTGCTCCACCATGCCCGGCTCAACGTTGGACTTTTATACATGAAGAAACATAGAGCCATACTGAAAAGCGACTAAGCTCCTGTTAGTTTTCTGAGCGTCCCCTCTCCTCACACTGAGCTTTCACAACTCTGAGGCTGGGTCTCCCCAGGGCCTGCTTCTTGTTTTATCTGAGTATTTCTGACCTAGTACATAAAGCCCTTTCATGGTCTGGCCCCTGCCCTACCCACTGTGCAGCCTCTTCTGGTTCCCACATTTACAGTTTCATAAACTCATGCTGCTTCCTAGACCTAGAGAAGCAAACCTCTCCTTTTTTTTTCCTTGTCTGCCATAGATGTCACCTTCTTCAGAAGATGTCCCCCTACAACCATCCCTGGTCTAGCTCAGGTGCTCTGAGCCCCCTGAAGCCCGATAGGCACCTACATTGCAGCATTTGTATTTCTACCTTTGTCTGGTTACTCCTCCAGGCGTTCATTAGACTGAGTTTCTTGAGGACCAGGGTCACACAGTTAATACCGATATCCTTCTGGTGAGCCACAGTACCACACAAAACTAGCTCTCAGTAAACAAAACTAGGCTGGGCGCAGTGGTCCATGCCTAGAATCCCAGCAGTCTGTGAGGCTGAGACAGGAGGATCGCTTGAGGCCAAGAATTTGACACTAGCTGGGACAACACAGCAAGAGCCCTGTTTCCACACACACACACACACACACACAAAGGGCTAAAAATGAAATTTAAAAATAAATAAATGGAAACAGCAAAAAAAGATCAAAAGGGGGTGGGTTGCCAATGAGAACATGTCCGTGGAAGTCGTCCGCTATCAGACGCCCTGTGGCTCTCCCAGGTGCAACCAGAAGGAAGCTGTAGAGGCCAGGAAGCAGTCATATCTAGCGACTCTTTTCAGGCTAAAGGAGCTGGATAAGTGTCATCCAGCTGGAAAGTGCACGTGGTAGGAAAAGGCAGTCAAAAACAGAACTAGCCAAGCAAGGCTTTTCTTCTGGGTTTTTCCAGCAGGAATCCTGAGTGACGCCTGCCCCCCATCAACCCTCCTCTACCGAAGAACCCCATCAAGGTGGCTGGTTTCACCACTCCATTCTTTCCTCTTCCCAAGGACCCCAATTCCTGGCCCTTCTACCCTTAAACTCTTTCCTGGCTCTTCTGCACCTCATCCAGTCTGGGGATCCTGCCTCCTGCATGCCACCCGAAGATGTGGTTAGAGGTAAAGGTATCCCTGCCTGCGCAAGGCCATCTCCCCAGCCAGTGGTCGCTGAGGCCTCTCTGTCAGTCTCCCACTTCCTATGTCCCCATTCTCAAGGCCCAGTGCGCTGTGGGTTCTTTCTGCCTTGTCCCCCCATCCCTAAGGGTCCTATCCCCAGTACCCTACTTCCCCGTGATCTTTCCTCCATCCCTGGTGCCATCCCCATCCTCCAGGCCCCGTGTCCTGAACTCATTCCAGGGACCGCTTCCCCTGCCGGGTTCTCCTGAGCGCCCAAGGCAGTCAGCGCCAACCTTTGAAGCTCTCTGCGGCCTCTAATAATCTGGCTGGAGTTATTTTGAGGCGGGAATCCTTCTTTAGAGACTTCATGGTGCCGTCCCGGCGGTGAGCGTGACCCTGCACCGCCCGGCCCCGAGACACCGAGGCTGCGCCGCCCCCGCGGCGACCCCGCGCACGCCCGCCAGCCAGCGGCCGCCACTGCGTCCGTAGCAACCGGCGCCCCGCGCGGGGAGGGCACCTACCAATCAACTTGGGCGGAGACTGCTTGGAAACCACCTTCTTCATCGGGCCGCGCACGCGCCCGCCGCCTGCGGCTCCAAGAGCGAAGGACCCCTAGAACGCCCCGCTGGCCCGACCCGTGACGCCACAGGCGGCGCCGACGAGCGCCGTGACGTCACCAGCCGGGCGGGGCGGGGGGCCCGGGCGAGGACCCCCGCGAGTTGTGGGAGCCGAGGGCTGTGTGGGAGCGGGCTGGCTGGTAGGGGTGCGGGACCTGCCTCGCCCCGCCCTGCTGCTAGGCCACGGGAGGCGGGTGGGGCGTCGCAGGTGCCAGCCCGTGCTTCCCACCTTCCTCGACTAAGGCCACGTCCTGTCGAGGGACCTCCCTCTGCCCCCCTCACAGCGGTCCGGGGGTATCGGGCCTTTCAGGACATGCTGAAACCTCTTGCGTGGCGTACCGTGGGTTTTAGGTGTCCGTGGCTGCCCTCCCCCACTCGCACCAACGCGCCTGGTGACCTCCCGGGTCCACGCTCGCTGCAGCCACTTTGGCCTTTCATCACTTCCCCGAACAGCCAAAACTTTTGCCCCGACTTGGGGCATTCTCACAGTCCTTGAAGATGCTACCTCTGATTATTTTAAGTTTATAAACGCACCCGCTTTGTTCCCCTTCTAGAGCCCTGATGCATTCTGGAATTTTTTTTTTTTTTTTTTTGTATGTAGTTGCCTATTGTCAAACTCTCTCAGAATGTATGAGAGCAGGAGCTACCTCAGGCCCCGCCCCCAACCCAAAGTTTAGTGCCAGTAGTCACGCAGTAAATTGTGCCTCAAATAGTGAAGGGGTTCTAGAGCCAGACAGAATTGGGTTCTAATCCCACCTATGCCGGCTTGCTAGCTATGTGTTCTTGAGCCAATGCCTTGACCTAGAAGAGCCAGTTTTCTCTGCTAGGCGCAGTGATTCAGGCCTACAATCCTAGTGCTTTAGAAGCCTGAGGCAGGAGGATTGGTTGAGGCCAGGAGTTCAAAATTGGCCTGAGCAACGTAGGAAGACCCCATTCTAAAAACCTCCGCCTCCCAGGTTCAAGCGATTCTCCTGCCTCAGCCTCCTGAGTAGGTGGGATTACAGGCGTGTGCCACCACACCTGGCTAATTTTTGTATTTTTAGTAGAGGCAGGGGTTTCACCAGTTGGTCAGGCTGGTCTCGAATTCCTGACCTTGTGATCCGCCCTCCTCGGCCTCCCAAAGTCCTGGGATTACAGGCGTGAGCCACCGTGCCCTGCCTAAAAAATTTTTTTTAATTAGCCAAGTTTGGTGGCCCACACCTGTAGTCTTAGCTATTCTGGAGGCTGAGGCAGGAAGATTGCTTGAGCCCAGGAGGTCCAGGCTGCAGTGAGCTCTGATTGCACCACTGCACTCCAGCCTGGGCAACCAAGTGAGACCCCCATCTCATCCATCCATCCATCCATATATATATATACATAAAATGGTGGTCATAATGCTGCCCTCACAAGGCCACTGCAAGGGTTAAATGAATATGTATGTATTTATTTTTCTTTGAGAGTATCTCACTCTGTTGCCCAGGTTGGAGTGCAGTGGCACAGTCATAGCTCACTGCAGCTTCAAACTCCTGAGCTCAAATGATCCTGCTGCTTCAGCCTTCCAAGTAGCTGGGACTACAGGCATGTGCCACTGCACCCAGCTAATTTTTGAATTTTTTGTAGAGGCATAGTCTTGCTATGTTGTCCAGGCTGGTCTTGAACTACTGTGCTCAAGCGATCCTCCCACCTTGGCCTCTCAAAGTGTTGGGATTACAAGCGTGAGCCTCCTCACCTGGCCTGAGTGTGCATTTAAACTATGCAACAGGGTGCCCTCCACAAACTGTAGTATCTTCTCAGTCAATTCTCAAAATCATGCTGGGGTTGAAGGGAGGGGACACATTATAAGCCCATTTTACAGATGGAGAAACTGAGCTCCAGAGAGAAGAGTGTAATGTCACCTGACTAGCGGGAAGCACAAATTGAACCTGGTTTTCAAAAGTCCAAGGCCAGGGCTCTTTGGACCCTGTCTCCTGGGACATTGCTGAGTTTGCAACAGCTGCCCCAGACAGCGGAGGAGCTAGAGAGGAGGCCAGCAGGGCTGGTGAATCCCTGAGCTCCCTGTGTGTTCCCCATTGCTGGGTCCTGCCCCAGGGGCATGGCCCCTTCTTCACACTGCTCTGGACCTTGCTCTCGTTATGACTGCAGCATCCTCCGTGGACAGCCCCTCTTCTCCTGATCTCCGAGGTCCAGGCTCCGGCTTCCCTCTACCCTCTAGAGAATCCCCAGTTCCGTTTACTTCACAACTGAGCACTTATGATCCAGCAGGCGGGGTGCTGTGCCATGTGGGTCCTCTAGGAAGCAAGCGCTGAGATGAATATAGAAGTGCAAGAGGTTTATTGTGGGGAGAGGGGGTAGTGGAAAGGCCAGTGAAGGAGAGGAAGCAGGAAAGGGCTGGGAGAGCCTCAGATTGTGCTGCAGATCTAACAAAGTCTTGGCCAACCCACCGTGTCCTCTAAGCAAAGTATGTTTGTTAGAAGCTGTAAGCTAACTGCCCTCCTTGTGGGTGAATAGCAAGTTCTTTCTTGAAGGGAGACAGGAATGGCTTACCTCCATGGCTGTCTCAGAAGCTCTGTAAGATATGGAAGAAAATAAGAAACATTTCCTTTTGCCCTTTGGAGCTCAGAGTCCAATCAAACCTAGGAATCTTTTAGACACAAAGTGGGGTCATTTGAAAGTAGATTTCCAACTCTAATGTGTGAGCTCATGGGGTAGTAATTAGCTGCAATTTAGGAACCACAGACTGGATATGAGGGGGGACTTCTTAGAGGAGGTGGGCCACTAAATAAAGAGTTCAATGGGTAGTTCAAGGGGCAGGTACTCCAGGTAAGGACACAGAAGGTACAAAGGCCTGGAGGGGGCTGGGCATGATGGCTTGTGCCTATAACCCAACACTTCTGGAGGCTGAGGCAGGAGGATCACTTGAGCCGAGGAGTTTGAGACCAGCCTGGGCAACATAGTGAGACCCTGTCTCTACAAAAAAAATTCTAAAAATTAGCCAGATGTCATGTCACGCACTTGTGGTCCTAGCTATACAAGAGAGTGAGGTGGATGGATTGCTTGAGCTTGGGAGGTCGAGGCTGCAGTGAGCTGTGATTGCACCACTGCACTCCAGCCTAGGGTGACAGAGCAAGACTCTGTCTTAAAAAAAAAAAAAAAAAAAAAAGCGCAGTGTGTAAAGCACAAGCTCAGATGACAGCATCACTTCACCAGCATAGCTCCCGCAGTCTCCTCCCAGCTCCACAACTCTGAGCAACTTCCTGGAGCCCAGGGAGGAGGAGGTGGTGGCTAGGTTGACAGAGGACACAGCATAAATTATTGCTTCATGTCTCTGTTTATTTCCACCCATCCAGGTGCTGGGCATGTCGTCAGCTACTCCTAAACAGCCTCCCTAAATAGAAAGCGCATTTCCTCCACAGACTGCATCATCCATTTCCCAGGGACAGCCACCCTCCTAAAGACTGAGGCTGGGGGTCATCCGTTCTCCAGCCCCTCACATCTGGACCCCCTCCCGGTTCATCCTACCACTGTGTCTCACTTCCGCATACCCACCTGGCCTGCTCCCCTATTGTTTCCATTGTGCCCCCCCCACCAGGTCTGGCCACCCCCACACATAGCTGGCTCATACCCCTCACATCTGCCCTCACCCACTCACATCTGGCAGCTGCACCCCTTAAACGATTCATCACATCACTGCCCTCCTTACTACAACCTTGCTCAGCTCACACTCAGAATCTTAAATTCTTCTTAGTCCAAAACACAGAACGCAGCTGGACTCTGCTCCCAGAATGGACTGACTTCAGCTTCAGGGATGACACAGAGACTCTGGGACACTTCTTAGGAAGGACACAAGGGAGGATTTTCAGAGGCTTTGGAGTAAAGTGTGGGTTTGCTTCTTAACTTTGCCCCCACTTGGGCTGTCTGCTTTAGAGTGGGGACAGCCAACTAGGCATGGTGGCTCACACATGCAATCCCAGGACTTTGGAAGGTCAAAGCAGAAGGATCACTTGAGCCCAGAAGTTTGAGACCAGCCTGGGCCACATAGTGAGACCCCATCTCTACTGAAAATAAAAATTTTTTAAATTAGCCAGGTGTAGTGGTGGTGCGTGTCTGGAGTCCTAGTTACTCAGGAGGCTGAAGCAGGAGGATTGCTTGGAGCCCGGGAGATCAAGGCTGCAGTAAGCTATGATCACACCACTGTACTCCAGCCTGAGTGACAGAACGAGACCCTGTTTCAAAAAAACCCGAAGAAACAAAAATAGAGTGATAGAGTAGGGACAGTGCCTGTCTCACATGGTCACGGTCACCTTCTTGTGCCTCATCCTATTCGTCATCCTCAGAACCCCTACACATACACTTCTGTGGGATCTGTCTGCCCTGCTAAAGCACAAGTTCCAGAGGTGCAGGAGCCTTTCTGTCAGATTCATGGCTGTGTCCCCCCATTCCTGGCTGGCACATGTGTGCCATCCTAATGGATGGGTGTGGGGAGCCTGCAGGAGCGTCAGTGGCCCACGGTCACTGCCTTCCATGATCTGTGGGGCAGGGAAAGAGCTGGCTCCTCCCATGCAGCAGCACCCATGGACAGAACCACAAACCACAGCGACATGCTCCTAAGAGGACTGCTATAGGAAGACAGTTCTAAGAATCAGGGCTCCCTCCGAGCATGCAGGAGTTCCTGCGCTGGTCTAGTCAGCCTGGGCGGCTGGGGAGGACACGCCCAAGATGGATGGACAGTGAGTTCTGGGCTCTGTCCCGTGGACCTCCACCAAAAAAACAGTTCTCTGCCTGCACCCCTCCATCCTCGTTCTGGGCAGAAGGCTGCCTTCTGAGGGCAGATTCAGGGCTGAGGGAGCTGGTTCACCTAGGGGACTCCTTCCTAAATTGTGGGGGCAGCTGAGGAATTGTCCTGCTCCACTGGTGAGAATAGTGTTCTAGTGATGCATGGCTGGGAACTGCGGGGGCAGGTGCTGAATCAAAAGCCCTGGGCCTGAGTCTCTTTTTAACTGTGTCACACAGCACGAGGCCTCCGCTCTGAGTTTCATCTTCCTTCCTCACAGAATGGGCTCAGCACAGCCTTCATCTACTTTCCAGGATGGACGCAAGGTGGAAAAAAGAATGTGTGTGAAAACTATACAGATGAAAGGGATTATAGTTAAGGCCTGGGACACTCAAGTCAACTAGATCATTTCTCTTAGTGTGATAGGCAGAATAACAGCTCCACCACAGATGTCCACCTCCTAATCGCCGGAAACTGTAAATATGTTACCTTGCAAGGCAAAAAGGATTTTGCAGATGTGATTAAGGATCTTGAGATTCAGAGATGATCCAGGATTATCCAGTGGGCCCCATGTAATCACAAGGGTCGTTACAAGAGGGTGGCAGAAGGGTCAGCGTCAGAGAGGGAGATGTGCTAATGGAAGCGGAGGTCAGAGTGTGTGGCTCTGAGCCACGACATGCTGCAAGCCTGAAGAAGCTGGAAAAGGCAAGAGGCAGATTCTCTCCTAGAGCCTCCACAAGGAACACAGCTCTGCTGACACCTGGACCATTTCAGACTTCTGACCTCCAGAGGCAGCAAGATAAATTTGTGTTAAGCCACTAAATATGTGGTCATTTATTAGGGCAGAAACAGGAAACTAACATAGACAGGGTCATAGAAACACTTTCAAATCGAATTCTCTAGCTCCTGTTCAAAAGTCTGTCTCAGTCCATGAAAGCTTCTGTTCTTACCAAGTTAGCTCATGGCTCCCAGGCTATCATTAAGTAGGTCACTGCCAGGCTAGGTGCAGTGGCTCACGCCTGTAATCCCAGCACTTTGGGAGGCTGAGGCGGGTGGATCATGAGGTCAGGAGTTCAAGACTAGCCTGGCCAAGATGGTGAAACCCCGTTTCTACTAAAACTACAAAAATTAGCCAGGCACGGTGGCAGGCGCCTGTAACCCCAACTACTTGGGAGGTGAGGCAGGAGAATCACTTGAACCCGGGCGGCAGAGGTTGCAGTGAACCCAGATTGCGCCACTGTACTCACTCTAGCCTGGCCTCAGAGTGAGACTCTGTCTCAAAAAAAAAAAAAAAAAAGTAGGTCGCTGCATATCGGTCTTGAGTTCCAGTAGCAGAGCATGCTACAGTTGATGCACCCAAGTTCAAATCCCAGCTTAATAATTTTCTAGCTGGATGACCTTGGGCTAAGTCACTTCATGACAAAAATGGGAAAGGGCAGCAGGGGGCGTTGTGAGAATTAAATATGATTCCCTTGAAAACTCTCACAGATAAATTTTAATCTCAGATAAAATAAGTTTTTTTAGTATAAGTATGTCCCATATAATATTTGGGATATGTTTACACAAAAAATATATTCATTGTTTATCTGGTCATTGTTTAATATCATTGTTTTTCATTAAACAATATATCATTAAACAATATATCATTAAACAGTATATAATTGTTTATCCGAAATTCAAATGTAACTGGGTGTCTGTATTTTTATTTGCTAAATCTGACAACTTTAGTCTTGTCCCAGGTCACATAGCTTGTAAGCAATGGAGCTAAGCCTCCATCTCAGGCTTTCAGCCCAAGGTCAATGAGCATCCTGCTGTTTCACAGGCCTGACCATAAGTGGATTATCTGAGCTACATGGCAGTCCTAGACTCAATCCAGTTGAGACTTCAAAAACAAATGCGATTTAAGCCCTGGACACACCTCAAAAATATCAAAGTGATCATGAAAATAAAATTTAAAAACAATACAAAATAAATGTTTATATATATTATATAAGTATATATATAAAGCATGTAAAGTCAAGACTGAGTATGAAATAAATAAGAGAAGAAACTACATGAAAATAAATGCTTTAACGTGTATTAAGTATGGGAATTCAATTTCTTTTCTTTTTTTTTTTTTTTTTTTTTTTTGAGATGGAGTCTCGTTCTGTCACCTAGGCTGGAGTACAATGGGGTGATCTTGGCTCATTGCAAGCTCCGCCTCCTGGGTTCAAGCAATTCTCCTGCCTCAGCCTCCCTAGTAGCTGGGACTACAGGCACGTGCTGCCATGCTTTGCTAATTTTTTTGTATTTTTAGTAGAGACAGGGTTTTACCATGTTAGCCTGGATGGTCTCGATCTCCTGACCTCATGATCCGCTCCCTCGGCCTCCCAAAGTGCTGGGACTACAGGCATGAGCCACCGTGCCAGGCCGTGAATTCAATTTTTAAAGATGATGTTCCTTTTATGTTTTCCTTCTGGTGATCTGGACCAACCCATAAATTCAGTGGAGTTTATAAACTAAATGGCATCTAACTGAAGGCTTATCATGGCCTGCATAGCCTTCTAAGCATTTTATGTGTAGTAGTTCCTTTTTTAATAAAATTGAGATAATTCACATAAAAAATTTTATATAACATAAAATTCACCATTAGAAGGATACAATTCAGTGGGTTTTTTTTTCCAGTATATTCACAAGGTTGTGCAACCATTACCACTGTTCAGTTCCAGAACATTTCCATCACCCCAAAAGAAACCCTGTAGCCATTAGTCACTCCCCATTGTCCCCTACCCACTAATCCCTAGAAGCCACTAATCTACTTTCCATCTCTATGAATTTGCCATTCTGGACATTTCGTATACATTAAATCATACAGTACAGACCTACTTTGTGTCTGGTTTTTTTTTTAACTTAGCATAATGTTTTCATGTATTCATTTCATTGCTGAATAATATTTCATCGTATGAAGGTACCATATTTTATTTATCCATTCATCAATTGACGGGCATTGGGCTGTTTCCACTTTGTGGCTATTATGAATACTGCTGCTACGAACATTTGTGCATAAGTTTTTGTATGACTACATGTCTTTAATTATCTTGGGCATATACCTAGGAGTGGAGTTGCTGGGTCATATGGTGACGCTAGGTTTAATTTTTTAGGAACTGCAAGACTGTTTTCCACAGCAGCTGCACCATTTTGCATCCCCACCAGCAGTGTATAAGGGTTTTGATTTCTCCACATATTCACCAACACTTGTTATTATTATTATTTCTATTCTAACCATCCTAGTGGGTGTTGGGGGGTAATCTCAGTTTTGATGTCCATTTTGTTAATGGCTAATGATGTTGAGCATCTTTTCATGTGCTTATTAGTCACTTGTATATTTTATTTAGAGAAACACCTATTCAAATCCTTTGCCTATTTTTATTTATTTTATTTATTTTTTTTTTTGAGACAAAGTCTCACTCTGTTGCCCAGGCTGGAGTGCAGTGGCGTGATCTTGGCTCACTGCAACCTCCGCCTCCCAGATTCAAGCAATTCTTGTGCCTTAGCCTCTCGAGTAGCTAGGATTACAGGTGTGCACCACCACGCCTGGCCCATTTTTTTCTTTTTAGTACAGACAGGGTTTCACCATGTTGGCCAGGCTGGTCTCGAACTCCTGGCCTCAAGTGATCTGCCCACCTCGGCCTTCCAAAGTGTTAGGATTACAGGTGTGTGCCACTGGGTCTGACCCTTTGCCCATTTTTAAATTGGGTTGTCTTTTCATTGTTGAGTTGTAGGAGTTCTTTATAAATTGAGAGGATATTAAACTCTTATGAGATACATAATTTGTAAATATTTTCCCCCATTCTGTGGGTTTTCTTTTTACTTTCTTAATAGTGCCCTTTGATGTACAACATTTTAAAAGTTTTGATGAAATCCAATGTATCTATTTTTCTTTGGTGTTTTAGTTATGGGTGCTAACTCCCTGAACATTTACAACCATGTCAGGTAGAGAATATCATTAGCATTCCCATTTTACAGATGAGGAACCTAAAGCAGAGACGGGCTAAGTACTCCACCCAGGATTAAGCAGTGAATGGGCAGCAGAGCTGGAATCTGAATACAGCACGCACACTCCGGGGACCCAGGTGGGAGCCGTTTCAGGGCTCCTGTGCTCAAACTAGGGTGTTTGAGCAGGATCCTTAAATTGTTCTGTGACCTTTGAACTTCACTCAAGCTGAGGATTGCCAGCCTGATGGTTTTCACGCTCATTTTATTATTGTTCGCACGTTAATCTGAAGGGCCCATGCTTGGCGGGGACTGGGAGGAGGGGCACATTTCTTCA